AATGAGGATGCAGGAGTTTACAAATAGAGCGCTGGTTGGACATGGTTGGTTGCAAATGGTCTTTCAGCTCGAAGCAACGACCCTGGCTTGATTGTCACAGGGGGAATGTAACGATTAAGAGCTAGAACCATTTACACACCTGCCTAGGGTGAGGGTATCTGAGACTCGTTCGCCTGGAAGCAGAATCACACACAGTGTGCTTCTTCCTTGGGAGTTTTGAAACCCGCTGAAGGAAGGCTGCGTGACTAAGTAGAACACACGGGGTTGGTAGCCACGCCATCAACTGCCGAGAATTACATTGTCGAGGCATCGTCCTCAGGCACGCATGCGCCAGTCGCAGAAGTTGATGGGATATTGGCTATGCGTGTAATGGTTGTTTTTTTTTTATTTACGAGGACAAAACGACATATCAATCTTGAAGAAAATTGCCATTACTACAGGAGTAAGTGCAGCAATTTCGTTGTACTTTCATTTCCCTAAACACACGTCTCTGATAGCATTATAGGATGAGAATGTAACACAAAGTTCTGGATGAACGAAAATTATTATTCACAAATACAGATCTCAACTAACAAGACTTTATTTGATGACTCTCTTGACGATATTTTTACTCGAAAACTACCATATATTGGGGAACATTTTTCAGTGTACAACAACAGCGCACTATCACACGCGAGACGCTTTGGGACATGTCATTTGGCTTGGATTGCATTTTACAGCAAAATCCTTTCGCCCGACAGGCACACACAGAACATCTGCATCACAGCACTCCGACAGTTGGATTCGCATCAATCACTGACACACTGATATAACTACATGATAACAACCGCAACAAACATGGAACTGAGTGGCACATGAGCCTGTCCAGCCCCCACCAATGGCTAACACACTGACAAACAAGAATACTCTAGGCTGGTACTCATGTTAAAGAAACATGTAGGGGAGGTGAAAGCCAACAACAGTTAAAAGTGAAGTTAAAGTGTTTACACCCAAAGTTTAATGAGACCACAGGTCACAAGGTGACTTGGAAAGGCGAGATTCAAAGGCAACATTCCAGAACGTTGGCGAGACCCATCACTGTTACAATTTCATGAAACCATCTGCATGTGAAAACATTTCGTCCTCGCTGTGAGAGGAGAAATGGGCACTGCAGTCATCATCACCTTCAGCCGAGTAGACAATATATTCTGTTTGTCTGAACATCACGCTGGGACGCTTTTGGCACCGGTTTGCTCAATTACAGAAATGCCAAGTAATCAATTTTCGAGAGCGAAACAAGTAACTTCAAAATCACAATTCAAGAAAATTTAATTTGCCTGAAATCAACAAACTACGTGCACCGTGATTTAAAGTCATTTTTATCATTTCCTCAGATAGAGGGCGCCACACAAATAAAAAATCAGGTCTAAAGAGGAAAGCGTCAGCTCTTCTGGACAAACAAAATGGAGCCCAAATGTAAGTATATATGCAAAATAAATGGTCGCTCGGTTGTCAAATTAGAAGACCCGTGTGAGGGCGATGACATTTTTCGATATTATGTTCATTATTTTATGTATTGTGCGCCGCACAATATTTTTCTTCGAATGTACTTGACAATCAGCTACTAGGGTTTCAGGTTAGGCTCTAGCTAAAAATTCTAAAAACCACTTAAGGACAAAAGGAAACAGATGTGTGGGAACAGTTCCTACCCAGTATCTCTCTTTCATCGGCTGTATGCCGTATGTTCTCTGGCAAAAGACAGACGGTCGTGAGCAAAGTGACTTAATATGTTATTGCGCCGGGGAATCGGTTGCTAGGCAACGCTTGAATCGGCAACAAAAATGAACAGCCTACCACATCCGGTGAAGACACTTCAGTTTCAGAAATGATCATTATTCGTGAATCGAGGAACGGCTGGCGGTAATAACACCACTGCGCTGTCCAAGGTTGTGGCCCCTGATTGCTATCCGCGCGGTGTCAACAGCACGATTGGAGGCCGTCCTATTAAAACCGATGGGGTGCCTCCTCTCTGCTTTTTGGAGCTGCAGGTTTAATGTGCGTCCGCGTGTGCATTTTTCCCACAGTCCCGAGTAAAGAAGTATTCAAGGGCGATCGCCCGCACGTTTCAGTCACTAATAACGAAGTACACCTCTTAAATGCACGCACTAAATCTTCCCACCTAATCAAAGCCTAACTAAACGGGTGCACGTCAAGGGGAATATCATCACATTCACTTGAATTACGCGTAGCAACTGTTAGTTTTATTCTCATGGTGATCACTAAAACAGCAAAAAGGAACATCGTCATTCATGCTAATATTAACACATATTTCCACAGTTTCAAGACCATGAAGTTAATGTTAAATGAGACTTCTAATTGCGGCGTGCATGGGTCATTACGGTTCTCCGCCAACCTTGTTTGTTAATTTCGTTAATCTGTTATCCACGTTGCTCGCTGGACTGTCTTGTGACCTTTCTTGAAGCAACGGCAATTTGGCATTCTAACTGCGTACCTGAATATTGGGGTGGAACCGCTAACCAAACGCACGGCTTAGACATGCGCGTCATCAGTCGAAAAGAAAAACAACTTACACAAGTCACAAGCAATATTCATCACACAACAACAAGTTGGGTGACGACCTGTTTTTTCCTGACCTCAACGTTTTGTTTCTTAAACTGGCTACCTTTTACATGACTTAAATTGCCGAAGATACCTCTTGTGAGTGGTAAATCAGCCCAATAAAATTCATGCTTGCGAAAAAAATTAAGGGGAATGAACTTATGACGGTGAATTTTCGTAGGTGACCCAACGTACCCCTTTCACTTCAGAAATAGGCGACATGCTCCTTTAACGTACTCTCTTCTTCCTTTGAAGTGCGCCATGATTATTGAGACAGCCGAAAAAATCGATGCGGAATCTTGGCAAGGGGACACCAATGGCGAAGAACAATAAACCACCAGGTGGCCAGAAGGTCTTATTGTTGGAAGGTTTTTATTCACAAAGCCACCCTGACTATTAACCTTGCACACGCTTGTGAATATGACACCGTCGAGTTTGGACGGATTTTCTAAGCATATCAATGACAGATTTTACCCGCCCTCTCCTCTAGACCACTCTTGACAAATTGACGCGCGCCACGCTCGAATTGCAGCCATTTTCTGTAAAATATGCAACAGCATGCGCAAGAGAAAGTGTTAAGCAGCTGGGCCCTCGCTTGGTGCAGATTCGCGACGAATTGGGGACCTCTGGGGTTATAAATGACCGAAACCAGTCGTTGCCGAATGTGACAAAGGTCGGTCTTTTTAGGGGATAATGATAACGCAGTTCATTACAAAGACTTTGTGGGAATTTTTTTATCACCTCTCACCGCATGCGAAAGTCACGCCGGCAATGACCAGGAAAGCAGAGTATTGCGTTACACGAAGTGGTTTCCGTATCGTGCCCCTATTCCCCAATCGAGAATACCCACGGTACAATATCCAAGTAGTAGGTCTGATAGCTTTTGCTAGACAAGTTGATATTAAAGTAATTGGTTTTACCGAATGAAAATATTATTTCCCAACTGGGCAAATTCTCCAAGGAGTGTCAAAAACCCACGCATCTGAAGATAATCTTTCTGTGCATTTCAGTGGAGAGAGGACATCAGCGTATTAGTTACTCGAAGTTGATTTGTTGCTTGAAGCGCACGGTGACATGTACTACGCTGTACTGTTCAAAGACCTCTCCTCTGAGGAGTTGGAATGAACGACCAAAAGGTTGAATTGACTTCGGATCAAATCTGGAACACTGAGTTCTTTAAATACACCTGAACACAATCTGAATTTTCCATACTAAAGACACTGTTGCGATACCTCGTGATTCCGGGCAAGCTTTTGCTTTATTATTGTTACATAAGAAACGCATTGCACTAATACACTGTTTTCAATGGATAAAAACGGCACAAAGAAACCAGTCCATTCCTGAGATGGTGGTCGCTATGAAAAAGCTTGCCCCAAATGTTTATGTGCAATCGGATAACACAGTGTACCAGATTTTATTCAAAGTTAACTCTAAAAAGGCTCATTGGCTGAAATTTCTGCCGCGGTTAGTGATAGATTTTGCTCAACGTGGTACACTGCTGCCTACTAATTGACGAAGCTATGGTCTTTTAAGTAAGTGTGCATTGAATATTGCAATATCAAAAGCATCTATTTTTATTCCAAAAATGAATTTTTCAATGATAGCGCACTGTAGTTTGTTAACAAGAAGTCGCCATAGACCATACCTGGCAACTTTTTCTCATAGAGTTTCATAACCCATGCCGTAGAAGGCAAAATTGCCCTTCTATAACATTGCAAAGACTCACACACCTGAACAGAAACTCTCCGAATCCCATTCGAGAAAGACTGATGCGAAGCTTAAAATAGTTCTCTATTTTACAATTCACTTTGACAAAACAGGGCACTCAGAAATCAGCAGTCTCGACAGATAAACCAGTACGTGTTTTTTAAACACCTTTGTTCTAAACCTTTCCGGCCTCAAAGGCAACGGAGATGTCCCGTAACTTTAGTAAATGACACAGGTGAAAATATTCAGGGGACACCTTCATAGGAGATGGCACCCCTCTAAATCCCGGATGGTCCTTTCAACTGTCAACAAAATGTTAAATAATTATTACTGCCTTACCATTCTATACAAAAATTAAAGATTTTTAGGAGCCACAGCGCAGGTACGCCGAGATTGGAACCCACGTTTCCAAGGATTATGACAGGGGTCAATTGTCTTTCAAAAACATGGCTGTGCCGTTCCAATAGAATTGAAAATATTTCAGGGATACAGCGCACGCTTCCTAGGATTATGAGAGGCTGACACATGGCTGTGCCGTGGTAAGACAGATTTCTGAGGGTCCCAGAACAGAACGATTTACTGTAAAGACACATTCAGTCGATTCTAAAGTCAGGAGTCTTTGTATATGTAGGCCTTGTGTAGACACAAAATTGTATTGCACCACAAATGAAGAACAAAAAAATGCGTTTACTTACGTTTATTCCAGCAATACCACCACCAACCACGCCCTCAGCCAACAAAATTTACCAAGCAGTAGGTACACTCGGTCCAACCACCGCCAGCGTTTGGGGAGTCTTCCAGGCCGTCCCTACCGCGTGTTGGAACTCATTGGAAGCACTGATAGCGCTGTGCAAAATGCCCGTGCAATCCAACCATACAGCAAGTACCCAATCGAATCTCTCACAGTTGAAGGACCCCTTCTATGTGTTTATGCGATGAATACGCCAATGTTACCGTGCACTGATTCACGAATACTCATGCACGTGGTGGATGGCGCACTGGACACTTAAAGGCTGCGGTGCATCTTCTGGAACGTGTCCCTCTGGGATTTGTAAAGACGCAGAAGCGCCCTCTGTCGACAAACTGGCCGCATTCAACATCATGCCCACGGTAGCCATTTTGTGTCCATTTTGGACAGACCTACGACTTCAAAACTCTGTTAGCTAACCACAAAGAATTTTGAGGTCCAGTATAACATGTCCGTAGGCTTACTCTTTAGTCTTTTTTTAGGAATCTTTGTCTTGTTTCGTATAATGCAGCAAACGAGGGGAGGGTCGGATTTCAAGTTCGCTGTTGAGCATCCAGTCTGTTGTGGCAACACCGACCTCAGTCACAGTCCTCCAAATTAGCTACACCAAAAAGGGGACACCAGTCACAGGATTTACAACGACAAAAATTCTTTAATCCACTGAAAGTCTGCTTACAGCTTTCCGCACTGCGGTCCAAACCACAACTACACAGATACAACTCTCATCCAAAAATATGTATAACAATGTTAAACAATTTCCACCCGGGAACTTTGCCAAACACTTCCCCGGGCCCCGCCAAAACCGCAGGCATCCCGAAATAGAGACTAATTTCCGGGGCGCACAAAATGTTATACAATTACAAAAGCAGGTCATCAGGGCGCTCCACTGAAGACCAGCCCTCCGCCAGCGGCTGAGGCTATTCTAGTTGCAACAAAAGCCGTATTAACGGTCCGTTACAATATGGTCTGTCGCCCTTTCATCCCGTGCGCAGGCCCAAATTGAACTTTGGGTGAGGCCCCATCTACTACTGGCATAGAAAGAACGAGAAAACAATACAAAAGCCACTTCAACCATCAAGCTCACAAAGCCACTGAAATCAGGCAGAGCCACCCCGTTTACCCCAAGCTTTTAATACTTTTAACAATCCGTGACTGTTCATCACTCGTTTAGTTCGTAAAGAGAGAGAAGTCAATATTGAGAGAGGTGCCCCAACATTTAAGACAAACGGTGGCCTCTTCAGTTTAAGATGACAATCTGCATAACCACGGTTTCATTTGTCCAAGTGGTTGCAAGATAGCCAAAAAAACAAACTGATTGAAGCAGAATTAGGCCTATGAAACTGAAACTTAAAGAGGTTTGCGGTAGCACCGGGTAAGGATGTTTCTTTTGGGGCATAGTTCTCAAAAGAACCCAGGGTACGTTTCAGGGTCATGCATACTAGAAAAGAGATATGCTTGCATGGTGATACCAGAAACATTTATAACTAAACTGCTACCTTCACACTGGTCTTGGTCTGGGTCTTGGTCTGGTTTTGTTTTCTTTTCTTGATTAATTTTTACGAAAGGTTTGAAGTTTTGTCACGTTTGATTGACCTCTACTATCCATATGAAGAGTATTACTGAATCTGTATGAAATGTAAACTATGGGAATTACATGTACCTGAAAAAGACTGCACTTTGGTTGGCGTTGCTTTCTGAAAACAACCACACGAATTCGTTTACTCCCGGCGGCTGAGAAACTGCCTAAGACGGAGCGAAGGCAACCGTGCCGTTAATCGCAGAACATCCCATGACCTCAAAGATGGAATCACTTGGCGGGAGCCAGCTACCAGTTGACTTCCAAAGGTTCGTGCCCTCTTTACTCCACGCTTAAAGAATGAACTCAGTGAACTCAGTGCTGCAGTTGAAGTTGACCAGAACTAGAAAAACGAAAAGAAAAAAACCTATAAATTTTATTACTTCATCAAAATACTTCCCAATCAACAGCCACAACTAGTTTTACTCGTCGTCGCCCCCATCTGCAGGGCCCCGTCAACAGAGTGTTAAATAACACAGTACTGGCAAGATTGTTGTTATTGAACTGGCTCAGTCTTTCTCATCCGACAAAACCTAAGCGCACGTGCTAATGGATGAACTCGTCTAAAATGTGCTGTAAAGACACTTCCGCTGAGGCCATATTGCGGGGGAAGCTATTTTCTCTTAGTGTTGAGAGTTTTAATTTTGTATTATTCTTGAGGCTACGAGTTGTGATAATTAAAATCAACGGTTGAGTGACCCAAACTCTTGAGGGGTAAAAAAAATGCTTTTGAGGTTCAATCACTGAGCCTTGGCAAAACTTTCCCACAATTACGTTCACATGCAAGTAACCTGTACCTCTGGTTTTAAGGCACATGTTGCATATGTGATCAGTTACGACAAAATAAGAGTAAAGTCTCATCCCGCTCTTTCCAATTTTGAGGGTTCAAACTCATATTTGTAATACTGGAAAGAGTAAACTGTCTCCTTTTAATTCCATATAATTTACAGGATCTTAATTACTCAGCTGATTTCAAAAATACTTATACCTCAATTTCATTCAGCTCATTTTGTGGTGACAGGTAACATATAGATACCACGTGGCTGTAATTCTAACAAACTGTTCACGAAAGCGTACACTTTGAACAGGGCAAAAAGTGAAAAAAGTAAAAACTCTAGTGTTAACGTCAACACTTCTTGGTGTTATCCGATGCCCACACCTTAGAGTGTTACTTTAATACCGCTGGTGTTACTAATCAAACAGCATTTTAGGGTGTTGAAAGTAACACCAAATAACACCAATTTTTTAACACTAGTGAAAATTGTTGGTATAGTCCTCTGATAACACCTGAGGTGCTGAAGTTAACACCCCGGCTTTTGCTGTGTGTGTTTATCTTTTAAACACAGTTTTGCTATCACTTTGTAAACATGCTTGGATGCTTAACGTTTAGTGTTCAAGTCCTCAACATCAGTGTTCAGTGGTTAAATACAATCCATTAAATACCCGAATACGCTTAGCATTTAAATATGTTCACAAACTGATACCCCAAAAAAGTTGTTTTCTGGCTATTCTGATTCCAATAATTTAAAACCAAAGGTTGTCGAATGTGTCTTTCCCTGTTGTTGTGCACTCACACGAATGGATCAGGGTCCTACAAGCTCTCACTTAACTCTTTTTAGCTTCTTTAAATCTCTACAAACTCTTTTCTTTCTTGAACAGAAAGTGAATGCCATTCAAGTACAGTCCTGTCGTCTGATTACGAACATTGACCCTTCCCCTCAGAGTTCAGTTTATAGGGGTTTTTATTTCCAGTACCTGTCACCGAGTATTGGGTGAGGTTTTGTACATGCATATCCTGGAAATCGCCTTGCTACACCTCAAACAATATATGCTACTTTGCATATATATATTTGCTCCGTGGGCGTCGCTGGGGTCAAAAGAATTAGCGGGCTGATGTGAGCATAACTTTGAAAACGCGAGTTTTAAAGGTTTTTTTTCTGTCCAGAACGAGTTTAAGATTGCACAAAGAATCCACTTAGGGAAAAGACTTTCCCTTGTGTAAATTACGGTCATCTGCTACAGTTGCTTTCATAATGCCCATTCCAAGTCGTGACGTGCAAAGAATGTATTGGCGACATACGTAATAGCCGCAAGTGCGACGTTTGCAGCTTTTAATAAGTGAAGTTGAAATTTTCAAACGTGGTACACATGAGTGCATGAAGAACTCGTTTTTGTTTTTGTCTATCATGCCTATCATTTCAATCACTACTAAATCATCAGTTTACACTGTCATTGCCCAACCTCTCAACCACGATCTTGCCATCATCCTCTGAAACTTGTAGTCGATGGTTCTAAACATAACATCTCGATCAGGCTTCCAAAGAATCGATCTCCGATTGTATATTGCGGTAGCACAAAAATGTGTTTTTTAAAAACAAGGAAGACTAACCTGCATCTTCCGGAGCAGAATTTGTTACGTTTCTCGGTGCAACGGAGAGAAAAACCAGAAAGATCTATAAAGTCCACCCCTTCTTCAAGCAGCTGGCAATCTGGGGGCCGGTTCTGCGAGTGCGCAGAGTCCCGGATAACGGCCAGAAGAGCAAACCAGAGTATGGGTTAAAGTAGCCAGCAAGTTGAACAGCATGGGTGTAGGAAAGTCCCTCACTGACGACTGACCGCGCAATAGTTGGTAGGGCGCCCTCAGTAGTTTGCTCATTCTCGCACCGTACATTCCGTTCTAAAATCAGGTTTAGCAAGCACATTTCCAATCAGAATACCTCCAAATTTGCCCTTACCGTGCGTTACTGACATTTGTGAGTACTGCCATATGTTCTTTAGTGTTTATAGTATAAGATCATTTAGTGATTCTTGTGTTATTATGTAAAATAGAGGAGTTTAGAGTACAAACCTTAGCCTTAATCGGGGACAATTGTTGCAACGTTACATGTACAATTATGTTGTCGTCTAGTGGGTACATGTACGTGCATTCCAGTCAATTTATTAGTATTTATTTCTGTTTATTCCCTAGTCACCACGGTTTCCTGTTCCATATATTTCCAAGACTTCATCACTGGTTTCAGCTCCACCACTCCGTTCACAAATCACAGTTTCTCCAAGTTTGCTACGGCATCCTGGCCGAAAGTGCGTTGATGTTCTCCTAAGCTCGCTCTAGTCACTGGAATCGTTTTGCCGTGCGATTTGGTTTTCTACGGAAGCGTGTATAGGACATGACAGAAAAAAATTCTGCCGTCTATTTCGCCTTGGCGGAATACGATTTCGCCGGGGCGAAATAATAATCCGCCCGGGCGAAATCTTATTGCGCCAAGGCGAAATAGAACGCAGAATCTTTTTCAGTCATGTCCTATATACACTTCCGTAGTTTTGTATACTTGACCACGCTTTTATGTCCTATAGGTGACAACTACGGAGCGCATCGTGGCCACCAATTTTACGATATACAATGCCAAAAAGTTTTTAAAATTAAAACAGGGTAAAACTGCTACACTGAGATAAATTGCGGACCGCTGCACTTACATTCACATTCATTCAGTTTACATTCATTTAAAGTGCTAAAGTACATTTAAATATAAGTCATTTGGCTGTTGAAAAATTCAAACCTGAAATTCCACATGCTTCGGTTCTGCACTACAAAAAGGACGGACTGACCAAATGGTCCACCCTCGTCAGAAGGGTGGGGATCACGCCCCCAATGCCTTGACTTTAGGCAGCACAAAACAAGACTTCTATCTGTTGCAAATCAAATTCAGAGCTAACCAGAGCCATTCTTGCTCCTCTTCGCGCAAACGAAATGTCTGAGAACTAGGACCCACAAAACTGTTGATGTATTCGCCTTGGCGAGATATTAATTGGCTACGGTGAAAGTGTATATAACGCACTGCTGCAAGATGGTATTATTCGTTTTTAGGGGGTTGTGGTCCTTCTGGACTTCCGTACTTCTGTATTCTTCATATAATAGCCTATTTTTAACGACGCTCTCAGAAAGTCTTTTAAAAATTTCCATCATGATATCATGATACCGACGGCTGCCATTGTCCGAAGTGCAACTCGACACAACATGAGTAAAGAATGAATCGTGGGAAAGCAGTCCACAAATAAGGCACTGTGCGCAGAGAGGCCAAAATATTTCTCTGATGTTTCCAGGTTCAATGAAATCCCGACAATAGTTGGACCTTGGACATTGTCATCAATATAGATGGGAAAGTAGGAGATACAGCTAAGGTGACACGAGTGCGGGAACCGTGCCATATTGATTTCACAGGGTAACACCTAAGGTTTAAAATGGTGGAAAATTTTATGGAAACTTTATGGGCGATTCCATGGAAATTTTTAAAGGAATTTTACAGGGTCTAGAATGTTTCACATTTTGGTATAATATTTAAAATAGTAAAACGTCTGGCCCAATGGTTTAAAAATTACAACAATTCATGTACAAAAAAGAGCTTTTACATGTTTGATGACTTCCTTGAACTGTCGAAGGACTTAGATGCTAGTTTGTCATTACTACTCTGATTACAAGCCTTTAAGGGAAGGTCTGCATACAAACAATTGTATCTCTGGCATATACTGCGCAGTTCCTTCTTCAATACACTGCAGTGCGCAGGCGCGAGCAAAGGGCATTTGGTCATGAACACATAGCATTTGAGGTATCCTTCCCGTTCTAAGATTAACACAAATCACTGCAAGGGTATAATTGATAAGACTTTGATGTTACGACCTCAACTTCTGCACAATTATTACACACTATGTAATACAGATAATGGTTTGCGGAGCTGTGTATGTGCCCTCCGACTTGTTGAGATCATGACATTGTTACAAACTGACAACACAGATCCTCCCCTGTAAAATCGGAGTAGTAGTGACATTTGTGTCCATAGTTTATCATTTAGGCGGGTTGAAAGCCCAAGGTAGCCAACAAAGCAGGGGAGTATACGAGCTGCGTAACACTGTTTTCATTTTTAAGAAAACGTGACACTTTATCAGTTCGAAAGATGGAACATTTGACTTTGTGGGTAACATGATGGCACAGTGACCAGTACCGATTGATTTAACTGCTCTTACACAAATCAATAGAAGGCTCTCTTTAATATGATTCAGAGAAAGGAGTGCTGTGAATTGCAGAGAAGATAGTGCACAGTAACTAACGAAGGTTTAACCGGTTATTGAGCGGCACAGCGTCTTCAGTCTGGTTTTGTCTCACTTTGCTTATGTTCACGTTCAATTTGACGCATCACTGACTGCTTGACCGTCGACACTGGTGTCGACAAGCCGCGGCAATACTGTTCAAACGCTGTCTGAGGTCTTTATTTCTGAAAGTGTAGATGAAAACATTTAACCAACTGTTTGTCATGAGAAGGGTGTCCGTGAAGATCTTGACCTCGTGAGACACAGGGAGATCGACGGCGCCGACGACAATGTAAGGGATCCAGCTCAAGCAGACGGCCCCAGTGATGAGGAAGACGGTGGTGGCTGACTTGACGCGGAGACGCAGCCCGTTGTCACGCCGGCCTGCTCCTGGCAACTGGTGGGTCTCGCTGGCGATGCGCCGCGCCTGCCGGCGCGCAATGACCAGGATGTGCGTGTAGAGTCCCAGCATGGTCAGCAGCGAGGTAAAGAGTACGATCACCACGGTCAGCTGGTGCAGCCCGCCCTGCTCCCAGAGGCACAGGTGCGGTGGCGTGCGGGACACAACGCGGTAGACCAAGAACCCGTACGCGCCCGCGCCTCCGACGAAGCTCAGTACCCAGGTGACGCCGATGACCGCCTTGGCCCGCCCGACAGTGACGATTCTGAAGTATCGCAGCGAGTACACGATAGCGATGTAGCGGTCCACGTTCATCATGACAAGGGAGAACACACTCAAGGATACAAAGGTCCGGTATCCGATCCCAAACAGCTTGCACATACCGTCCCCGAGGACCCAGGCGCCAGCGATGTTCTCGGTGAGTTGGGGCAGTGCCCAGAACAGCCCGTTCCCTAGATCGGCGATGGTCAGTGAAGCCATGAACAGCTTGGTCGTCAGCCGAATGCTAGTGACTTGATGGAGGACCACCAGACTTATTGGGTTGAAGGCCAGGATTAACACTACCGTCAGGGTCATCAGGACGCAGCCAACTATTCTTAACGCGGTGTGTTGGGGGATGGTGTCCCAGATATCTCCTTCTGGAGTCGAGGTAAAAATGGCCGTGCTGTTTATTGCCAAGTGTAGCATTCTTGCCCTAGCCATCCACGTCTTGACGGCAAATGTGCATTTATTCATATTAGCCAGGAGTTTCTGGAAACCAGCACTTACGCTAAGTTATCAGTTGAATAGTTAATCAGCAATATCATGGTAACAAAGGCACATTACACTGGTCATATCTTACCAAGAACCACATAATCAATCCAACGCTCAAAAAGGGATTCACGAATAAATCTATTTGTACAGAATATGCCTGAAAAACCTCAAGTTGAAGAAAATTCTTTTCAGCGTTGTGGGCATTCATACCTTCCTCATTCACGTTCTGCGTATATTGTCTGATAGACTTGAAATGATTGCCCTTATCACAATTGTCTCCCCCGCTATCGTAGCCGTATCTCAGCTGACAATGGACAGGGATTTCGGCAATTTCTAACTTGTTACAGGCCGGTACATGTTACTTCTGATTACGGTTGTAAAAATGAATACTCTGTAGATAACAAATGAAGAAATCGTAAAATCCTCTGACTTTTCGGCCGTTAATAATTTTCCCACGTCTCCAATCTGAAAAAGGCCCTTCTTTGTAAATTTATTATAAATAATTGATAGGCTATTTGCCGTCGACAGACTGATAAATGTGTGACTGATTGGCAGAAGACGACGAAGCAGGCTCGTTCACAGAAAGGCCTGGCACAGAGGTTATATTCTGTCTCGTTGTGGTGGTCGTTAATCATTTCAAGCAGCTGTTTTCATTTGTGATAACTGTATTTCGAAAGATTTGAAGTGTCGTGAAGGGCTGATTATAATGCTTTGAGTGCCGACAAAGTTGTTGCCACACAGTCGCACACCTTACAGCAGAACCTTCAGCGGGGGGGGGGTGTTCCAAGGTGAAGTATCCTAAGGGTGTGGGTGCTGATCCTGACGTGAGGAACATTTGACATAGGTATTGGTTCCGTACTTGTCTCTGCAAAACACACACCGTGAAATATAGTCGCGGTAGAAGACGTCAACCACATTATGTCAGTGTTGTGCATTCGTCTAGTCTGAACTAACGTTAAGTGGCTTCTTGTGATCAGCGGTGAGGGGTCATTTCTCTGACAATGCATATACCGACTTCAAATGTTATCAACTACAATTTCACGGACGGTGAAATATTTACCAATTGCTATTTACCCAGCCATTGCTGGCGGAGCAGGTGCTTCATTGTTCATTATGAGTCTGAGGGTTTAGGGGGGAGGAGACACTGCCGTCACCGTCCAGTTCCTTGTTTTTTTGAAAGGCACTTCGTAAACGTAGCATGCAGAAATATCAAAGCTTTAGCTCGATTTCCGAACAACTTTTTCGTTATTTAACATTGTTTTTTGTTTGTTCGGTGTACGTTAATCATTTTTGTATTCCTCCAAATTCAATAGCAAGAACGCGCTCGGCGAATGGGATGCACCCTATGAGATGTTGGCCGTCATCGCCTGAAGTCAAAACATGGAGGAGTAGACCGCTTTCCAGTCCTTGTATCTCGCCAAAAAAACAGAGAGAGGAGCGAGTGGGAAAAAAATAACAATTATCCTTCGATGGTATGAAGGTTGAAATCTAATCAAAAGTTTTGTTCCGACCATCTTCGTACTTGGGTGAAGCTGTCATAATGATCAAATTGTTTTTTTTAATTAAAGGACAAATTGGCAAGTACCACAAATAACCAGCGAAAGCATAATAGGAGTTGGTTGGAATTCTTTTTACTAGTAGCAGCATCTGTACTTGCGAAACTCGAGTAGCTAAGGGTGTCACTTCTTTATAAAATCCGTTGACATTACGCAGTAGTCCTCACAAAACTCAGGACTCGGTTATTTTTGGTTAAATTTTTCTCTTTTGTACACAGCCATGAAAAAAAGTTCTTATAGATACACGATTACTGTATATGCTTAAAGTAATCTCACTTTCGTAAAAGTATCGCTTAGCGGGTTTATTTGCTGCATAAATGGATATGCTGTTTAACCTGTTACTTTTTACAAATGCATCGGTGAAAAAGATGGCGGCTTTTCACTTTTATAAACTCTTTACTCAGAGACTTACCTCTTATAGTATACGGATCAATAAGTGTATTTTATACGGACCTATATAATACGGTCGTTTCACAATCCGGTTCGTAAGTGACGTCATCACAAAGGTGGACGCGCCACGATTTGCAGGCTATCTTTAGACAATCGCTGAAGTTGCACGTTAACTTCCAGTTCCATGGTTCCATGTAAACGGCGATGTAACCCTATGTGCAGTGCACGTGTGCAGTGGAGGTGGATTAACCTGAAGTGACGTCACACTTACGAACCGGATAGTGCGCCTCCGAGACTTTGCACAGCGTTGGCCAGTCACAATGTGCGAAATCTGTCGACCCTTTCCACACGCGCATTGGGTACACAGATTTTACGCATGGTGATTGGCCAACGCATTGCAAACTCTTGGAGGCGCGCTATTATGAATCGCAGTGTTTAACACGTGACTTCTAAATGGGACATTTAGCAACTCAACAGAGTTGGAACCAGGGCCGCTGTGACGATAGTCAGTGCCAACAGGAGACGATAAGCCACAGTCGTAGCCGTTGCAACGCCAACGTCCGTAGCCGGCTTGGTCGTGGAGGGCTCGGTGACATCACCTCTGTCCACCACTAGCACGAATTTGTTCTCTGCAAGCCGCCCTTGTATGGTCATGTACACCGTGCCAATCGGGGAACCAGCTAAAGTCTGGTTGCTATTTGGTACATCCTGTGAATATGAAAATAAAATACTATACGTTAAACGGTTTCCATACAAGGTCCAGAGATCTCTTGACACCACCAAATTCAGTCCAAAAACACACGATATCTTTTTTCTTATTTTGGAAGTGACTTTTCACTACCAGAAGGACATGTCCAGATTGTGTTAAAAGCTGTATTAAAAATAAGTTCGAGGCAATGCTTTGGCTACGTTTATGGCAAACTTAAGACCGAGTACGACGGGAAACGGCGAAGCTACAATTGAAGCCGTGGTTCGGGCTACGTTCAGATTACGTTTTTTGGCCTTTTCTGGTTACAGTTTAAGACAGATTTAAGACTTGATTTGAAGTCATGATTACTTCGTTACATGCTCACCCGTCTCTTCCGTGAGGTACCGCCGGCACTCCCTCCTCCCGCCGCGACCGTCACCGGGCCGTCGAAGTTCTCAGGTCCTAGGAAGACCTCGACCGACCCTGCCCCAGCCACGGCCACGAGTAGGAAGTCGTGCAGCGCCTCGTTGGGGTTGGGCGTGGTGATGGAGACGTACATGGCCACGCTGCCGTTGGACGCCTCGATTGCCAGAGTGACGCCCTCGGCGGGGACCGCTTGCTGCAGGTACTGCGTCGCCTCGCCGTCAAGCGTACCGTTGATGATCGGCTCGGTGATAGGCGTGGCTTCTGTAAACGTTGGGTCGATTTATGCACGTGAGGGGACTAGATATTTGTTCAACAATACAGCAAGTGTAGTTGGGACTGTAATATTGATATGATCATTTTCTGATCATTATATATAGCCTGTTTCCAGACACAATACGTTCCCCTGATGTCTCTTAAAATCAGCGCCGCATCCAGCAAATTTACAAGTGAATGCTGCTTCAGGCTCATTCAACATGATGTTGTGGGAGAAAAAAATACCAAAAGCCTTACTCGCAGTCCCAATATCCTTGCTTTTATTTCATGGTGTTGTTTTCTTAAGGTTTTGGTGCTAATATTTGATAAATATACCGATTAATTTCTTGCCTATGAAGTATTCTTTGTAAAAAAAGAAAGTCCGCTGGGGTACAACCCAAGCACGAAGGGTATCTGCTTTCGACAATACATTTGACAAATGTCAAATATTTTGCGAATGTAGAGGGGTCGATACTGTTTTTATCGTGTGATAGGGTCTGCTCTACTGAACTTTGTTTCGTCAGAAGCAAACAAGAAGGGAACTATAGACAAGAGAATGATGGTGACGATAGCTGTGACAGAATGATATCTTAATTGCTGTCATTATCATCACTGTTGTGATGGCATCGTGGTGATTATGATGATACAAGCTGATCGGCCTGATTCTGATGATTTTGGTGAATATTGTAAGGATCGTGAAATAACTTTGACGACCTTTGGAAGTGAACTGATACGGGTGGAATGAAGTGACGTCTTCACTTACGGTTGCATGTAGTACCCTGTAGAGTGACGCCGATGTTGGCGATTGCCTGGAAGTTGTCCACGTGGAACACGTAGGTTTCGCTGGGTTTGTTAGCTATGGCGTTCAGCTCGTCGTCGTTCACACTGGATGTCACCCCGATGGCGAACAGAGTGATGCCCTTCTCTCGAGCCCGGTCTGCTGGGATAGCAACGGCCTGGGGCCCCTGTGACTGTCCGTCCGTGATGACCACCGCCACGCGGGGAAGCCCCTGGTTGGCGGGCCGGGCTCCGTTCCCCTCCAGGAAGCTCTGGCTCTCCATGAGGTTCAGCGCTGTTACGGTCTGCGTACCGCCTCCACTGTATTCAATACGTTGGATGGCCTGCTTCAGCAGTGTCTTGTCGGTGTATTTGTTCAGACTGAATTGTATACTTGCGTCACTGGCGTATCTTATGACGCTGACGCGAGTTCGGTCGGGACCGATGTCAAAGAAGTCGACAACTTCCAGGACAAAATTCTTCATCAGTTCAAAGTTGCTAGAGGTAACACTTCCCGAACTGTCCATCACAAAGACGAGGTCTATGCCTCGCACCAGACATTCTGAAGAGACAAACAGTTTTTAATAAGGATTAGATGCTACCCACTCAGGAAATGTCAAGATACGGGTGTCTTACCCCTTGACGAGAAACCAGCCAAACCTGTTTCAATTATAGATCATAGACTGCATCCGAATCTACTGTCTACAGCTAGGTCTTCCCTCCGTTGAAAATGCGTGAACACATTCTGATAATAGACCTACAATATAATGACGTAATGCAGTGTTTACAGCGGTGCATTGTGGGTGAAAGGTGGGGATGTTGCAGGAACGCATCGACGTGACACGTTATGTGTAACGTATACTACCGATTATCGTACGAAATGGTCCATCTGAGCTGCTGTGTTCCATTTTGTTTATCAAGTTCTCAACGAACACCAGAGCTGCTTTCACCCACAATGCACCGCGGTAAACACTGCATTACGTCATTATGTTGTAGGTCTATTGACGTAGCCTTAGGCCGTGTCCGAAACGGGCTTCCAGAGCTACGGCTGGGTCTATTGTCTACGCATCTCCGCACTTTTCCAATGGAGGGGAGACCTAGACCTAGCTCTAGGCAACAGATTCGGATGCAACCCTAGCTCTACAAGCCTGTTTTGGACATAGCCTTAGTATCAAGTCTGAACTGGCAAGCGCAGCAACCTTGGTCGAGAACAGTTTTTAGGTCATCTTCCAGCCGTTCTAGCGCTAGAACAAGAAACCCATGCAAAGGATAGGCCGCCTGAACTTGACCATAATGTTTGTTTTGTCAAATACATGTACCTTGTGCACGCACCTCAAGTTAAAAAGGGTGTGTGCTGCCAATGAAGGTGATAGCGTCTGCTTTGGTTAGTACACAGCATAATTGAATTAGATATACCCTCTTACCACTTTCGCTGTCGAGATTGGTGACGTTCATGACGAAGTTGGTCACTGTCTTATTTGGACGACTCTGGTCCTGCATTCCCAAATACTCAGCTTGATCACTGACTCCCTGCAATAGGGAAATGAATAGAGCTTGCCTCACTTCCATATTTCTGGCTTCATTTGGAAAAAGTTTAGACGCAGTTAATAGTAATGGAGTTGTATACTTGCTTAGCACATTATCAGAAAATTTAGACGCCGATTTGATGTTTTTCAGTTATTTTTAAGCAGACATTTTTGTGGACTTGCCTGTGGGATGGCAGGCTTCTGATTGTGGAAATACAACCGGGCCGCCAGTGCCGAGTATAGAGGCTTGCGGCAGTCTTCCCAAGAGGTCTCCTTCCAGTCGATGCAGAAGATCTGCTCGATAGTGCGGAAGATGGCCCGGTATTCAGGCACGTTGGTCATCTCCAGGGTGGCCTGCAAGGGGCCCCGGTCCACCCGCCAGATTCCCCCGTGGTAGGCCGGGTCGGAGTAGGTGAACTCTGCAGTGCCGTCCAACGTTTCCACCCAGGCCAGGCGCCGCATGAAGTTGAAGTCCGCCTGCAGGCCGGTCTGCCCAGGCTGGCTACCGCTGCCGTCCTGCTCGGTCATCAGTCGGTTGATTTTCTGCAATGTAGCCTCCACCACGGCCGTCCCTGAGGCCTCTGCCACCACTGTTAAGTCTGTGCCGCGGTCTCGCGTCTTGGCCATGTTCAGAGCACAGACCGTGGCATAAGTACCTTGCCAAGTGAACAGATTAAAACCGATCTTAGTCTAGATACCGACAACGGTATCCGTGCACAGATATCAAGCTTTGAGACAACACTCAAAAAAGTGCAATGGAATTTTTGTCACAGCCCTGGCACCTGTACTCAAAACTGTGGCTTACTGTCCCCAAAACGAGCTGAAATGAGTTCTTTCGGATTAGCTTTACGGCTTTATCTGGGCGGTTGGCTCTAACCATATTAACCTTTCAATTATCCCCTGCACCCCCTCCCCAAAAAGGAAAAAAAGAATATATGAGCATCCTGAACATCATTAAGCATAACTGGAAAAGGACTCAAGTGACAAACTCTTCTTATTGCCAAAAATAACGCATTTTAATGGATGTTATTACCTGTATTTTAGTTTTATTTCACTTTTCTGTTTATCTACATGCGTTTCCATATTTAACATGTTAACGAAGAGTGTTGTTGGCATGTTTAGCTCCTTTTCAGCTTACTGCAATTCACGGTGTTGTCGTTAAAGACAATTGACGGGGCTGTCTTTCAAGGACAGAGAATGTTTCTATTACCTTCCAGCGCTGAGACTTTGCGGATGAAGTTCTCCACCGTGTCAGTTGGCCGAGTGTGGTATTCGTTCCACCAAAGCGTGGCTTGGTCTGACAGTCTCTGCGTAGGAATATTATTGTTCAATGCTGGTAAAAGTATACTGCTAAATGCTACAAAATAGCTTAATCCTTTGCAGTTAGCGTCAGATCTTCGTCGTTCTCGACACAAGCGTTTGGCAGCATAAACAAATTTTGAGACTGTCGCTTCGTTTTTTTATTTATTTTTTTGCGGGTTGCTGCTGCTGTTGTTGTTGTTTTTCGTTGAACTACCGTAGTGTATGGACAGAGCCCAGAAGAACTGAACTGCAAATTAAGACACGATCTGATAGCAAAGATAATACGCGGTGGATGGAAGAGCCGGGCGATACTTGCAAATGAATTTTGGTGTTGGTTATTCAAGCCTGTCAGGCCTTACTCTAAATTTGCGAGCTGGGATAAATAATGACAATTTTACAAGCCAGGAGTCATTCAAATTTGACCGTCTGATTTAGGGTGATGTTGCCGTCAGTGCAATTTCAAAGTGAACCGGGTTACCTTAGGAATGGTGGATTGTAGACGGTGGAAATACAGGCGAGCAGCGAGGGCCGAGTATATCGGCTTACGGCAATCCTGCCAGGTTGTCTGGTCCCAGTTGATGTCGAAGAGCTGCCGGATGCGACCAAAGATGGAGCTGTACCGGGAATCTTCGAGCATGGCCTGCGTGGCGTCGTAGACGGAGCGGTCCACACGCCAGATCCCGCCGTGGTAGTTGGGGTCGTAGGCGCCGGCCGCCGTGCCGTCCCGGGTGTCCACCCAGGCAACGCGCCGCAGGAAGCCGTGGTCCGGTTGGAGGTCTCCACTGGAGTCCTCGGTCAGCTGGCTCAGCCTCCGCAGCGTTGAAATTACCACGTAGGTGCCCTCGGCCCCCGGCTGCATGGTGTCGTCCGTGGACTGGGACCGGGCCAGCTCGAAGCTGGCGGGTAGAAAGCAGAAGATGAAGAGAAAACCTGCAAAAGTACAGATCAAGGAGTTTCACTTCAGTCACATTTCAAATCGCAAGGCAAAATACAAGTTTTATTTTTATAAATAATGGGCCTAAGGCAGTGAACAAAACGACAAGGAATTGACAGACCTTAAGTTACTTTAACGCTATTAGGGCCTACAAAGACTTATCCGTTTATAGAGACTTACAAAGACCGTCGAACCTGGGATGGGGACTTGACTAAAGACTGATTTCTGATTAATTTGTAATTGACTGCCTGGTGATTAGTTGTCACGGCTAGATGAGTCGTTATTCCAGTTTAGGAAACGAATTACTGTACCGGTTTTAAACTAGAAGGCAAAATTAATGTTAGCAGTGTGGGGGCTAGGAAAAATGACTTGAACGTAACACAGACAAAAGCCAAAAATGAGAAACCTATACGCTCTCCATTCCAACGGAAGATTCGCATATTTATCGTAAAATGAACTGACAAAACCTTCACAATGTTATTCCACACTTCACCAGTTGCTGTTTTATCAAACACTTCATGAACAAATAACCTCTGGTTAACTATTCAATCATAACGTGAGTAATCACTAATTTTCAATCATTGTTCTTGTTTAGAACGCACTTCAAATCCAAATTGTCCATCTACTCACGCCTGCATTACAGACCACCTTGTGTGAAATGGCATGAGCTTAAGAACAAAATATTTGCAATAATTCCTTTCAAACTGGAAACATAGTGTACCGGTACAATGCCTCACACTCATGTTGGCTACGCCATGTAGGCCTATGCAAAACCGCCACCGATCACTTCCAGTTACTATCGTTAATGCAACACAACAAAATCTCAGTCTTGTTCCAGAAAACTGCAGTTTTGTTAGCGATCTTTGTCAAGCATACACAGTTTCAGACGCACGTAAATGATTCAGGTATATTCCATGCAAAATAATACATACCTCGAACTGTCATGTCCATTGCGACTTAAGACTGGAAATTCTTATCATCAGCCTCTCGACTCAAGCTCCAGTGTTAACAAATTCCAAAACTTCCGTGTCACCACACACGACAGCCTAGAGTAATGCAGACTTTTGCGACTGCGGTTTGGAGGTCGTTGTTTACTGAACCATTACGTGTGAGCATCACCAAATCCCCAAGTTTCGATCCTTTGAATGTGTTCTTTATAAAGGTGAGAATGGCAACAAGCGGAGTATGCCACTGAAACCAAAGAAATTTGCAAGTGCAGCCTCAGTTTGCATTTGCTCCAGTGTGGTGATACGACTTTAGTAGAATAGTAATACCTTAAAACGATTGACACATTAAGTACAATCAGCTGTGATCACACAGTGGTGTTTTCGTCTATTGGTACGGTACTTTTTGTTCGAATGACGTGTAAACGCACGGACTGTTTACACTCTATCGCCCCAAAGCCTCTGAGGTTCACCATCTAACTGTCTGATGGGTATTTTTTTACTCTGGATTAGAGGTTTTCCAGTGCGAAATGATCAATGTGTGTAGAATCGTGAAAGCTGTCCCAACTTGCGAGGGCATTTTCTGCCGATACTGGGGTTTCTTGGTCTGTGAGTTTGCACTGCCTTTGTGCTCAGATTTTTCATTGTCAAACAATCATACAGCTTTGCTCTGTGCCTTTTACCCAAAATTATTGTCCAGGGAAGTATTTACATTTTCGTTTTCAAGTCCAAGTCGAAAGAAAGTCAATGAAGAAGAGTATGATCGAACGCCAACAGGACTCAGACACCACTACAGCCATTATTATATTGTGTTGTTTCGCAATCTAAGGAACAAAGCAGAATATTTTATTCCTAGAAGAGAAAAAGGAACTTGAGGGCCACACTTTACGCTGTATCGGTTCCAGCCTTCAATTTTCTTGTGTGTGTGCGTACGTGGAGCGAGCAAAGGGCAACCAAACTTTCTCTGGCTACCGAAGTTGCTTTGAATTTTTCCATACATGTAAATTGTCAAGTTTGATGTGTGGTTTTTAACGCTTGCTAAATGAGCCATGTCCCATTCCCGAAAGCACACAGGTGGCAATTGTTGACGCGGCGTCGTTACCTGGGATTTCCCGAATTTTAACCGTCGATTCCTTCCTTTGTGTTTGTTTGTCTGTTGTTCGGTTTGTAACTTTGGCCAAGTGATTCTGCAAACTGTTTCTCGTACTACTTTCTCTCAATTCTACCCCTCAGTTTACACAGTGTCAAAGAGTAAATGAGCGTGGAAGACACACAGTTGTTTCAGGGTAGCCACACTGTGTGGCTATACAAGATGTTTTCACTATAAACCAGAATACTCTCCAACTTCGAACCAATCTCTGCTCTTGTTGCTTGAAATTACGCACGAGTCCGAGGTACAATTTCAGTAAACAGCCACGTAAATCGAAAACGGCCCTGCCACCCACCCACTCCAATTGTAATTGTTTCCACTTACCATTAAAGAGCACCTCTAAGGAAAACATGTTTTCTCTGATTTCATCTGTTCAAATAAATATGGAACATCCAAATCGAACGCAGTGTCATTTGTCTTCAGAGCTCAACCATAACGACCTAAAAAGGTTGGTTTTTTTTCTGTTCATGCCAAGATGCGAATTCTGAATGTAGACTGTGCACTTCGGAGAAAACAGAGAAAACCAGGGTAACCCTTGCCCTGTGTTCGAAGTAGACAAACACTTGTGCATGCCAAGCAATGGCTACATGTACTACTTGGCACGTCTAGGGATGATTACTTCTTGATGCAGCTGAAAAAAAGGCCAGCGGTTTTATTGAGAAACATGGTTTTTGCACTCAACAAAAGATTCTCCTACTTCAACAAATGTACTTCAAAATACATGCAGTTCTATCGGCAACTATTCAAACGTTGGTGATTGTGTTCTTTGCACGCAAAACCCTACTTTCCTAAACCTCACAGAATAGCCCTGACCTAAAGGTCAGTGAATAGCATTACTACCACCAAAAAGCCAGCTTAAAATGAGACGTAGGTGAAATGAACTTTTCCACAAGCTGGGCAAAAAAAAATGGCGAGTGCTGCCTCTTTTAGATGATACGCTGCATGGGAATTTATTTTTCTAATCCCGCCTCTCCCGTTCGCGGCGACCTTTTTATACCATCTCTGCTGGCGTAGGCTCGTGCGTGTTCACGTCTGCCGCGGTTTGCTGCAGGGTCCTGTACTGCCACCAGGATGGATAGGTGGTGGTCGTGTCGCTGCTTGTTCCTGCTGCTACTCATCGGAAGCTGGTTGGACTCCGCCAGGACACAGAACGGTCCCGAGTTGTCCAGCTGCCAGCTGCCGGAGCAGCTCCAACAAGGAGAGGGTGGCGTGACCGTCAACCCTCCTGGCTTTGACTCTCTTTCCATCGACGGAGAGAATAATGTGGACGACGGAATCCGAGGTAAGGGCTTTTGATCATCCGGTGTTGAACAGCGAGTTAGCATTTTCTATTTGTCTTAAGGCGATTATCGTGTGCTAATTTATCCTGGCATGTATCGACGCAAGTTTTACAAGATCTTATCAGCGTGGGATAAGTATATCACAAAAAAGACACATTTCAAATATGTTTTCCGCGACATGATAAGGTAACGAAGTAAAAAAGGGTTCTGGTTTCATCATCTCTGCGTTGTATTATCATCCCACAGTAACAAAACAGGACGTCAACATTCTCCTTTCACGACGTCGTCATTCCACAACAGTAGTGTCGACATGTCACTTTTATGTTTCAATTCCTAACTAAGTATCTCGTTGCCCACATTCTCCTTTCGGGATGTAGCCGTCCTTGGAGTGTGCACGATTTCGACATTCTATTGTTTAAATTGTAACCATCCCGCGATAAGTATGTCTCAGGGTGTGGTCATTCTGTACTGAGATTTTCTCAGATTGTCGACATCAGACTGTCCCAATGTTAATTGTCATGTCGCAAAACAGGCATGTTAGGATGCCGACTTTTTATTTTCATGATGTTGCCATCCCATGGTAATTTTCACGGGCTGCCTTACATCCTACTTCCAGGAGGCAAATATGACCTCTCAGAAATTTGAGGGACATTTTTGGAATGTTGACAGATGCTTTCAAATCAGGTAAAATGAAACAGGCCTATGATATATGTGTGCAGACAGCACTATGAGCTCCGTGACTGCAAATACTTTAAGTAGCCATGTTGTAAGTACGGTGACAAAGGATCGATGCGGGTTTACTTCCGGGTGGAAAACCGGGATATAGAAATGAATGTGCTGGGTATTTGTGCGATCAGACGATCACAGTTCGAAGACTCAGCCGGGGGTGCGCATGACCGGAGACGCCCTGGTCCTGATTGGGTTGTGTAGTGCCAGACCAAGCCGACACCGGTTGCAGTCGCCTATATCCCTGCAGCAAAAGTCGATTCTTTATCGTTCGAGTGATACGTTCGAAACTTTCAGAAATGTCTGAGCATAATAACATCGATAAACATCGATAACATCGATGCATAATAACATCGATAAACAACGTCTCTGTCAAAATCAGATATGTAACAAGTTTGAGTAATCTACCTGGGGAGTGCATGTACATCGGGTCCTGCGGAGACAGGGGTAAAAAGTTAAATCCAAACGGCTATATCCATCTCTGCCATAACCAGGGATATCCATTCCTTCCATAATTGACGTAATTGCTGCCAGAAAGTCTTGCCAAAGGTGCAAGCACAGCGATCCGCCTTGGCTAAAGACTTGAACCCAATATTATTCTCAAACATTTCCGTGCACTGGGAAATGATAAGGCCACAGCTTCCATTTTCGCCGAACCCAAATTTGCGCGTTTAGGCGCGATCGTTCTGTCGGAGACATGGTTGTACGTGCCCGGTTGGATTCCGTCTCGCCGTCAAAAGCAGGCAGCAATTCCCCTAGTCAGCGCCTCAGATGTAGCACCTGCCCCTACATAGTTAACAGCCCGTCGGTCGTCGGCCCCTGCAGTAGCTACAGAATACGCGGGGATCATACTAGTTATGTGGCTTATTGCATTACATGTCGTCGCTGTGGTAAACTGTACATCTGAGAGACCAAGCGTCGCCTTGGTGACCGCTTCGCGGTGCGCCAACAAACACCTGGTCTCACTGTTGCACAGCCTTTTTGCGCGCCGCCACATACCCTCGGTGACGTAAGCGTCTGCATCCTGCGGAAAGTGTCATCCGATGTACAGCGTAAGGAACTGAAGCAGCGCGTCATTTTCGAACTTGGAACGCTGCATCCAGGGGGAATGAACATGGACTTTTCCACGTTCATTCAGAACTGAATTTGCTTGCCCTGAAGAAGGTACTCAGTTACCGAAAGCTCGGCAATCACATATTTCAAAGCACTGATTTGATGTTATATTCTTGTCGATAGACTGATCCGATTAGACGCTCTAACTACGGTAGCACCGCACTCACACGCACATTCTTCAGCTTGACGCGCACCTGCATTTGGCAAATCACGACACCCTATCCGGTTCGTAAGTGTGACGTCACTTCAGTTTAAAGCACGCCCACTGCATACGTGCACTGAACATTGGGTTACATGCATTGATCGTCGTTTACGTAGAAGTTAACGCACAACTTCAGCTATTGTCCAATGAAAGCCTAGAAATCGTGGCGCGTCTGCCTTTGTGACAAAGTCACTTACGAATCAGTTTGGTCGAAGAGGCATGTAACGCGCGCGTTCCACCTGTCAACGAGCGTTGTTCCACCTCAGAAATGGATTCTAATTCTGCTGGTCGAATTACACTATAGGCAAATCAGTAATGTAGACCAAGATCACATCAGTAATGTAGACCAATACATCTTGAAAATAGACCAAGATGCTTCAGCACTTCTATAATGTACCAGAGTCCGACGTCGTTAAATTACCGAAATTTGTTGAAAAGCTACTACATAAGATAACCTGTCTATTTTCTCTGTCGCTTATTGTCCATTAGTGCTGTTCTTCTTCAACGGGGAGAGGCCCTTGCGAGGATTTTCTCTGCAGGCTTGGGGGATGAACGCTAGCGTTCCGGTTGGACCCACGGGCGAATGGCTAACGCCGGCAGACCGCACTTTTAGAGGGGTCTCCTGTCAGGCAGAGAATGACACTATCACCCTCTCCTCGTTAGGAGTTGAGCCTGTACCCGGAGTTAATGTCTTCAATTGGATTGCTAACGGCTCGCCCTACTGTGATTTCCTTTTCCGGTAAGGCATTCTCAAAATAAAACAGGGGTCGAATTCTTGAATTCCTCCTGTTCGGTGATTTTGCACAGTTGAGACTATGATTCAGGATGTAAGCAGAATATTCCCCCGTTTCTTTCAGATAACTGAGTTTAACGACTCGCACATTTCTTGTCATTTACCTTAAGGGCACATGGACTAACGGTTAGCAGCGAAATCATAGAGTTCAGGACGGCCATCGTCAGACGTAAGCAAATGAGATCAAATATTGGTGTCAAACTTAATGAGTATCGGTATTCCATCATGCGTTCAGTTCAATCCGCTGTCATTTGTCGACTGCTAGTCCATTTTCCATTGATAACCAAAAAAAAAATAGATACAGGGTACCAGCCAAAATCGATTACCGGTAGCCGTTGTTGAATGGTTGCTGATCGAACTTGACCCTGACTTCAAGTAAAGTATCCTGAGTAGGGTGGGAATTAATAAAATACCCTAGTGATCAAGTTGATCAGGTTTTCCGGCAAGACTAAAGGATAGATAGATATTACAAGGTACTTACTTAAAGTAAACAGATCACTCTTGGCTGGAGTATCCAGACTGCCTCGTTGTCATTAAACTGAACACAGTCTCGTAGAGAAAGGCGGATGGTATACACCAATGTCGGCAGCTAGCCTCATGTGGGGCATCACTGAATATATGTACAGAAATGATAGTTTTTGCTTCTGTTTGTCATCCAGGTGTGCGGCAATAATTCCCTTCCACATGTAGAAGTTGCAGACAAATTTAAGTGTTGTGCGAGGCACGTGCAAGACCAAGAGCTTTCCCAGACTAGTCACAGTAACAGGGGAAACAGTGACAAAGAAATACTTTTTGTTGAAGCTCATCTGAATAGCATGTGAATTGAATTCAAACTGAAGGCCGTGTGTTTCTTCATAATCTTGTGATCGCCTTGTGAGTTCTTGCTTTGGAGGTAGTCTTAGAGGTATCGACTACAACACTGAGATTTGGTGGAAGGCTTCCCTGCTTATGAAATGATCTAGTTATCTGGAAGTTGGAAGTTAATATGTTTCCGGTGTCAGTGTCACCGAACATAACATGCAGTAGCGATCTGTATTTAATATACGGCTGGAAGAGATTTTGACAAAGTCCCTGTTATCATTCGTGTCTCCGAAGAGGCTTGATGCCCGAGGCATTTCTGACGTAACCTCTTAGCACAAATCCTGCTCTTATATTCAGGTCACCCTTGCCAGAATGGAGGAGTTTGTGTGTCAAACGGCACAGAGTTCTCCTGTCGATGTCATGTCGGCTATAGCGGTACCCGATGCCAGACATGTAAGTCCAGGATTCTTGACTTCATCCTCAGAGAGATCTTAAAAACCGTCATTCCCACTAGAGCAGCGCACTCTCAGAAAATTTTCACTGAAGCTGCCATGTAAATGTCTAATATCCAAAGTGCTAAAGTAACCAACTGAATTTGAAGAGATCGTCGTGCATCTCTCTAAATTTCGAATAGTCGGGTGTAGTTTTAACAGAATCAAAAGCTGTTTGTACCCACCTTCTTTGCCACATACCTTGCAATGCTAAAGCGAGTGCCTCTTGGGGAACAATCTGACTTTGGTTCTGTGAAATTTGCAGTTGATGACACGGCCACGCAGTTCACTGACGCTATCTGTGAGTGCCCGGTCCAAGGGACAGCAGGTCTAAGTTGCGAAAAAGGTAGTTTATGTCTATTTAAGATTCTACAGTTTATCAACTGCAACATCTGTAATTAATCAGCCAGTGGCATATCCACGGTGTGATTCCATCTGTCGAGTAGGCAATATTAGCAAGCCTGTAATGTGCTGGTACCTTCAGTTTTGAAACAAATCCTCCTTGCCAGGCAAATTTCCAGAGTTTCTGTGAAATTGGCCCCGGTAGGATGCTGAGTCTATAGCAGGATTTAATGGAGGAAAATGACGTGCAATATTACAAACACCTTTTGATGGAATAGAGACTCGGCTGCAGAATTGCAGCCAAGTGATGTCGCAAGTCCATGACAAATCAAATACGTCACATCATCACGTATTGAGACAGAGAGAATCCCTCGCCTCCGTGACTGGTCATCTGAGTGGCACCTCATTTAACTTGAGCTCTCCGTGACTCAGTATTGTTATGATGATGAATTGAGTACAAAGCTGTTCACTATTTGGTCACGCGTTGCACGTAGATCCGTGTCAGTTGAGTCCTTGCTTGTATGGAGGACAATGCAGCTTTGAAGGCGGTCTTGCTAGATGTTTGTGTGGTGCCTTACAGGACGGAGCGATGTGTGAAATGGGTGAGTACACACTTTACCTGCCGAGGACTTTGTCCATGTATTTTTCAGCCATCCCACGAAGGTCCCCTATAAAAGAGATTGGAACAGAAAAATACTGACTTCATGAATAGCGACAGAACAGACTAGGGCAAAAACTTACGTTACCACCGCACCAAGCTCAAATACCAGAGGCACCGAAGAGACACGAACTCTACCATGTGCAGTCAGAGAACAGATATTGATTAAAAAGAAACCCAAGGCTATACGTTGGTTGAAACCCGCACACCAAGGAATTTCCAAAACAAAAGCGTTCCTCGAACAAAAACATTCCTAAAGTAAAAGAAGGTTGAAAAGTGTAATCTACTACAGATGTTGCGTTGGAACAGTTTTGGGGATCAGGACAATACTCAGAAAATCGGTGCAGCTACATTGTATTTCTAGCTAAAACTACGCATGTAGTGTTGGCAAAGAAAGTTGTGAAGCATCACTCAGTACTTTGAAGGATCCTTCTCACTAGACTAGGGCGTAGAAATAAATAACAACTAGCAACTTTTGACTTCTTCTTACAGAGAAGTTGATTTTTAAAAAAGCATCCCTCAACTTTTAAAATGTCAAGCTAATTAGGGTCAAATTGTATGTACCATATCTCACATGCAAGGATATAACGACTTGAAATTTCCTTATTTTGTCCCGAGGCCCCGACCCCTGTAGATATCCACAGATGTGCTACAACGGTGGTACGTGTCTGCCGTGGGCTTACAGCCGGGATGGCTTCAGATGTCAATGCCCGAGTAACTACACTGGTCCCAATTGTCAAACGGAGAGTAAGTTGACCAGTAGGCCTACTGGCGCAAAGACCTGATTTGCATTCCACGAAAAGAGGCAGTTTGCTCGATGTTGACAAACAGATCAGCTTTCAAATATTTTTTTCAAGTTGTGGTCAAATTTTGACCGATGGAACTGAAAAATTAGGGCAGTGTTTGTCGTCGACTCGTTCAAAAAGCCCTCACAAGTCAATCACCATAGCCATCCTGTCTCAAGTGAAGATCAGCAACTCAAGGTAGGTGATTAGATTATGAAAGTGGTTCCTTGGCATACTGTTCTGTAAGTGGACTCTAACTGGACTTGTGAAGGCATTTCTTATGGGCATGACTGCTTGTGTCTTGACTTAAGAAGTGACTTTGATTGTACTTGGTGGATTTCACAGCATTTCTGCTTTCCTGTTAATCCACAGTAACCGGCGCGTGTTCTTCTCAGCCGTGTATCAACGGGGGGACCTGCTCAGCGTCTCCAGACACCGATGGCTACACGTGCGCATGCCCAACTATATACGGCGGACAGAACTGTGAGAACCAAGGTCAGTTCGTCCGCTTGGTGGCAGCACAGGAACCTATGTACGGCCATTCTCAAAAGCCAAGCGTTGTTTCTAAGTCGGCCTCGTCACCAGCTACCAAAGCTCTTATGGGCATACAACGTTTGGACAAATTGAAAATTGTTCCATCGTGGGTTCAAATGACACCAAGCCGGAACCTCCAATCTAGAATCGCACGAGCAGGCAAGATATATAGGGGAGGCGGCTGAACATTTTCAAGTGATAAAAGCAAACTTTTAATACTCGTAGAGGCTGCAGAGATTGAAATCCTACGTTAACGATCCATTTCAAATCTGACCCCAGTTTTTCCAGCAGATAGAGACGAGTGTGCCAGTAATCCCTGTTCCGACGGCAGTACGTGCTTCAACCAGATAAATGGGTTCATGTGCTTCTGTGACAACGGTCGCTACGGACCTAAATGTGAATTCGGTAAATGAGAAAATTCAAGTTCCCCGCTCATGTCTTTTCATTCGAAACAAATGTGCACTTTCTGTCCTGTCGAAAGGTATGCCACGGTAATTAATCTGTACAAGGATACATTTATGAGCCAAACACTATACATGTGTATATAAGTAAAAGAAAAATGTAGCACAAAACTACATCACTTCGATATTTCTCAGTTTCAGTTTACCAGAAGTAGTTCTGCGACCTCTTTCTTTGTAAGAGTTCAAAGTATTTTAAACAGTGGTTTCTCCGTCATAACATTCTGATGACAAACTAGTCTGACAGAAAAAAAGTATTGTTTTTCTTCTTTTTAGAAATGGAGTTGTGTGAGAGCAATTCTTGCAATAATGGTGGGATATGTTACAAAAGACCAGGTAAGATTTGAATTTTTTTAAATATTGATTCAATGATAAATTCCAAGGAGTCTATTTCTGGCGATGTTGTCATCAACAGCCTTTCAAAACGACATTTTTATGTTGAAGCAGACGTGCCAAACAAAGGCACTTTAATAAAGTTTTCAGTGTAAAGCTGGTCACCTCTTTTTTCCTTTCTCAGGCGCTCCTTGCAAGTGTTTCACCGATGTCAACAGTGGTCTCCGAGGCTGCGACATTTCCCCGACCTGTGATGTCACCGACATTCTCTATCATCTGTCACTGGTATACTATCATCTTGTGACACTATGCTCATTTTCTTCTATAAGCATTGCTTTTTAAACCTAAGAAATGGAATTTATCAAACAATTTCTTAGAGAGGTTATGCATGGCAGCCATTTATTCCGGTAAGAACTTTAGTTCTGCAGGGATACACATGAGTAGACCTTATGTGCTATCCCTCCATAGCAAAATCAGTTACCGGAGAGATGGCTGCCATGTGCAGCCTCTATTCAAATGATCTCAAATAGGAAATGAATCTTTGACTTCTACTCTTGATGCTATGAACTGAAAACAGACATGAAATGGGGCAAACTTAAGTTCGAGGGCGGCTTAAACGATGGCGTGCTGACACAACACCATTTCACCGTCGTGTTCATGGTTTTGAATCGAATCTCAAACCTGATGTCCCCACGTGTCTAGCAGAATGCCTTGCAAAAACCAGCTTTTTCATTAACTGTTCTGCAAACTTTATATCAGCTGTGGTTCGGTCAGATTGTAATGCAAAGTTTCCATGGTAGCTTTTAAAGATTGCTAAAAAGCAAATACTTTGGTGGCATCAACAGATACCTGTGGCGGAGGTCAATTTAGAGCTGATATCCACAGCCCTAGCAAACGCAACCAGCAACTACGACAGAATCGACTCGGCGGGTGTTGCATCGACTGCAACTACACTGGAAAACATCGTCAATGTTAGATCATCATCAACGCCGGTATGTATAAAAGCAATTAAAAGAGCACATGTATCCTTTGATTTAGACAGCCTCAAATATCAAGTGAGATCAGGCATGTAACAAAGTCAACAACATTTGGGTACATGAATTCATTTCTTCCTCAAATGTTACCAGATTAGTAAAATATGTTCATAACAGGAAAGCAACTTTTCCGACGTCATCAGTATGATGTTCATGGCTACGGTGTCTACTTCCAGGGGCATTTTTTATTACTCAGATCTCAATATTCCAAAACGTCTCACAGGCAACTGAGAATGTCATCATGATGGTGGACAATCTCCTCAACCTCCCGGACGAAGTGCTCGCAGGCAGCTACTCGGCTGCTCGAATCCAGCGATCCTTCGAGGAACAGCTGACCTACGTGCGGGGGAACCTGTCCTGGGTAACGAAGAACCTGGCCGTGGAGGTAGTCCAGCCACGCCGGCAGGCCAACGACACTTATACGCTTCTGGGCTATGCCAGCATCTCCCGCGACGGCACCCTCGACAACACTTTCCAAAACAACGATGAGAGACTATACACAGACCCTATTGTTATGCCGCCGGACAGGGCCGAGGCCTTCATCGGTCTACCCGCAGAGGTGTTCAGTCAAGTTTCCCGCGAAGGTACACACATCTATCGTTTAATTGTATTCCTGTTACCTTGTAATTTTTTCTCCCCCGTAATCGAAATATCAGTGTTGACAATTCTGCTTTCCCTGCCTGATTTTCCCAAGTCCGTGGTGTTGCACTTTGTTTGAGGATTCCTGATTCTTGTATTGCCTTGACACCCGTCGAGTTCCTTGATGTAAAGTCAATTTTCTTGGACTCTTCGTGGTCATTGCTGTTGCATGTCTCCAACACCTTCCCATCCTTGATGTTGCAGTTCTTTGACATATGCTGACCCTCATATAGCATTTTGAACACCAACTGAACCTCGATGTTGCATTTTTCTTTATCCCCGAACCCTGACATTCTTTAGTTTTTACAGTTCCCAGTCCTTGATGTTGCATTTTTGACACTTTCTGATTCTTGAGTAGATTAGTAGAATTATTGGACACTCACTGATTCAGTGTAGCATTATTTGACACTTACAAATCCTGGACACTCTGATCCCTGCATATTTTTTACACTTCCATCTTTGATGTTGAACGTGTTAATACTACGTGACCTTATTGAGATTGTCATTCTTTGACACTTCCTTATTCCCAATGTTACATTTCCTTCACACTTTCAGATTCGAAGTGTTGCAGTTTTTTAGCTCCCTAATGTCACGTGATTAAAAATTCTGGCAGTTGTGGTGCTTTTTGACTGTTACTTAACAAAGACGACAACATCCAAAAATTGCCAAAGTGATTTCCTGGTAGCACTGTGTATTCTTGGCATTGCATGTCAAACATCAGACGTTGCTTCACAGACGGCTTTTGAGACTTGTGCATGTTTGGTGTACAGATTGGCAGCTGTATTTGTTCATATATGTATCAATGAATCCCATACTGGTTTCAGAACCTCCCGTTGTATTCACGGTGTACCTCAACTCCATACTGTTCCAACGGGAAACACCTGGATCGTTTGCCTTGCCCAACGGGACCCGGCTGTTTGTCAACAGTCGCGTCATTTCAGCAATTGTAGGTAGCCCGGATGAAACTATTGAGAACCTGGCTAGTCCTGTGATAACGTCGTTCATACCAACAAACGTGAGTCCACGTCACCTAAACCTGTCTTTGTAACAATCATCGATCTAGGTTTCAAAGGTACAGTCACAGTTACTGTCCTCGAACGAGAACTATGTAGCTGTAATTCCTTTAGATCGTCACATTTCTGGACAAATTACTCGGGTGAAAAGTCCCGGGAGTAGACGGTGTTTGATCATTTTGATCGGAATCATGCTGCAGAATTATGCCAACCACTTTTTGTCCACCATGACTGCTTTGGAACCTTTTTTAACATTAATGATCGTTGTCTGGTTGCTTCAGGCTTCGCTGACTAACGAACCGGTGTGCGTCTTCTGGGACGTCGAGTCTACTAACTGGTCAACCGAAGGATGCACTCGGTCGACGACAAGCGGTGCAAGCAGTCCTGTAGTCTGCCACTGTGATCACCTGACTAGCTTTGCCATTCTTGTAGTGCGTAGAGTATCTTTCTTTTCGCCTCCTTATGTGTGACTTATACTTTTCAACATTTTGATCAGTAAGCATGGCCCTGTGCAATATCTGGGACCTTAGGGATCCACCAAGCACCTGTGATCATGTACTCTGGTGCATGCTTGTCATGCCAACAACAAGGTGTCTTTTTTCGTGTTACGTTTTTCTTCAGAGTTACACTGGTGATATCAAAGATTATGTGCTGGACGTCGTTAGCAAGGTTGGATGCGCCATATCCATTGTAGCACTGGCGCTGACCATTCTGGCGTGCCTGAGTTATCGGTGAGCATATCCTGTTGTAAAGTCCTGTCCTACCTCGGTAGGCCTACCTACATATGTTGTAGTAAATAGCGTATTTACTTCAAGAGTTCCCTGAAAAGGAACAGGTTAGCCTCTACAGCCGCGAACTCTAAGAAACCTGGAGAAACCCACGAGTCTGGGAACAGTTTAATACTGAGTTCAGAAATGGAAGGAAACGTATTTGAAGTAGAAAAATGAAATAAATTCGTGTCTGGAGAAGCCTATTTTTGTGTCAGCCTGGACAGGATTCAAGCTTTAGATAAAGAGGTCAAAAGGTGACAAAAAGTAAACACTTCGCTGAAGGATTCTCCATTAGAAGCAAGGTTTCATATGTATTTCTCACTATCTTGTTAAATGTCCAGTGAGTTGAGGAACAATCCAGCCAAGAAGTCTCTAATCAACCTGTGCGTGTCCCTCCTGGCCCTGTACGTGGTCTTCCTGGCTGGCATCGAACAGGCTCAATCACCGGTCACCTGCATCGTCATGGCCGCTCTTATCCAGTACTTCTTCCTAACGTCCGTCTGCTGGGCCTCGGCTGAGGCCATGAATCTCTTCTACCTGCTGGTCATCACGCAAAGGCTTCTCTTGACTCGGTACCTGGTGAAGCTGATGCTTTTTTGCTGGGGTAAGTCCCAGGAGTTCTTAATGAATTACAGATAGTTCTTAATAAGATTTGTTTTCAGATATGGAAGATAACCTTTGTTTTAATCACCAGCAATCCTGGAAGATTATGAGAGAATTCATGTGAACTAGGTGACATGATTTTATTGCTCCTTAGAATGTTACACTATCATTCGCTAAATTATTTGCTTGAAAGACTTTCATGGCAACAGTGTCATTGTAACTGTCAGCTGTAACTCGGTAAGGACATACACTTGTAAAGACAAGTGACACTTCTATTGACATTATGCCTGCTTTCCAAGGAGTCCCCATGGTGGTGGCAGCCTTCACATTTCTGGTACCGTATCTGACAACGGGAGAATGGGAACTCCAAGAAGCATAGTAAGTACCCAGAAGGCAGGCAAATTCATCGTATACTTCGGCTGTCTTTGGGGCCTTCTTTCTTGCTTTTAAGCACGATTTTCCACCGTGGCGCATTTGGGGACTCGGTGGGATGTTAATTACGGTAGAAGGGATATGGTCTGAAATTCTGGTACAGGTCATCTACAGCTGTATGGTTGGTGTATCGATAAATTTATGTTAATGGCCATGAGAAATGTTGTTACGAAACTGCCAACAGCATTGTTTTTCTTACATGACTTGTTTTCCTTTTGGTAGCTGTTTCTTGCCTCCTGGCAACGCGCTCTACTTTGGCGTTCTCCTTCCCGTTGGCGTAATGCTTCTCTTCAACGTCCTCGTCTTTGTTCTCCTCGTGCGCCGTTTGGTCTGCCAGCGCGTGGAGACCACCCGCACCCGCCGTGAGACCAGCGTGGACGCCGCCATCCGCCACGGTCGCCTAATGCTACCGATCAGCCTGCTGCTGGGTGGGACCTGGGCGGTCGGGTTCCTCGCTGTCGAGGAGGCCACCTCCGTCTTCCAATGGATCTTCGCCGTTCTGAACTCACTGCTCGGGCTGGCCATCTTCTTGCTCTTCATCGTGGCGAAAAAGACGGGCAGGAAGGGGTTGAAAAGGCTGTTCTGCGTGGAACAGATCAGAAATTTCTCAAGCATCCAGAGTTCGTCTCAAAGTCGTACATAAAAAGGGAGCGCCCTCTCACTTTCTTCTAAAAAATAAAACAGAGGCCTGCTATTTTGCTTAACATGTTAATAACCCGCATATTAAGTTTTAATTGGATTAGTCTGACTAATGCCTAGTCATTTTTACTAAATTTTACAAGTACATTTTTATTACTTTTAGGGTTTAGTAAAGGCTTTTTTGTAATGCATAATAGGACTATAGACCTGAAGAATGTTCGCATAGTAGGGGACCTCAGCCAACCGTCAATGACTCGCACTTTTGGAGTAATAACATGCCACACACGCACGTGATGCTGTACGCGCATGTCCGTTGCGTACGAGGGTGCAGGGTGGCTGAATGGAACGAAAGATTTTAAAGCAAACCCCGTAAAGCAAAACATTATGTAGTTTGTAAGTGTAAACAAAAGTGGTGAATGGGAAACATTTTAAATACGTTGCAAGGAATACTTCCACATCGATTCTCGTCTTACCGTGTCTCCACAGCCCATAAAAAAATGTGGAAGTTTGTCGATGAACCTATAATACAGGAGATACATGTATTTTGTAACAGGCAAACAAAACCCTCGCTGTGCGCCCGGCTCGTGTGACAGCTGGAAAGTATTTGGGACGATAGAGGTAAAAACGCAATCCAACTTTCGATGAATACCTTGCCCAGGAAGTATCTTCGGTGAAGACAACTGGGGTTACTTGCTCTCTGTGTACAAAACTGTACGTAAATTATCGCATCTGGGGTCCAGTAATTTTTTTAAATTTATTTCTGCGTATATTAGATCATTACGTGTGCGTAACTTACTCCAGTTTCATTTTGCATAAACTTTTCATCGGAAAATGATTTTTCTCGGGTGAGGTTTAAAATAATGGGCGTTCATATTACGTGATTTCCTACATGTATATAGACCGCGTTCGTAGCCTTAGTTGGCAAGAGACTTTTCCGTGGCTTCTTTTGGAAAACAATGCGACCCGGTAGATATTCAATTATTATTTTGGGGGCAAGTAGGTTAGTTTTGTTTTGATTTTACAATGTGAAATCTGCCACGTTTCTTCGACATTATTCATTTACTCTTACAAAAGAACTCATGGTGTAAAACGTATTCCACTGTTTAATAAGTGTTTATAGATCTAACTACGAACAACTTTCAATATTCCCACATTCTGCATTAAATACGGATACTCAAGCTACGTGGGAAGTAAATTGTTCCAAATTTGACTCCATTTTGACCGGTTCTTATTGCACTACACGTTGTTCCAGATTCTCCCGCAAAATCTTGATACCAAGAGCAATTCTTTTCAACTTTCAAACAAACAATACAGACACGACAACAGATTACTGAATGTAGCATATACTTTCAGCTTTAATTTTACAGCATTCTTCGTCAATGTCTACAGTTGGCCGACACGAACGCGGGGTGGGATACAACTGACAGCGTCAATGAGCCTCGACTTCCCAACCAAGAGATGAAACAACCTCCAGTACCGGTACATGTCTGCAATTGTGTGCAGCGTGTTTCGGCCGATTAGACACTTAAAATACATGCAAGACTAAAAGGCGCTCAGCCGTCTCACGATCATCCGCACGAAGCTTGGCAAGGGCAAGTTCGAGGCACAATTGTTAACCTGTGGTTCGGTAAAAAAAAAAAAAAAAAAGCCTGCATGACGGATGGTTTGGACCGTCTCGACGACCATTTGGAATCTGGCCCTGGGGCATGAACCACACCACTGGTTATTAATAGCCGATGTTATTTTAGTGCGGCGGGGGTCATGTGCTTTAGCACAGCTGTCTGCCGCTAGAGTTGTAACCCGTACAAGGTGAGGGCCGTTCAATTGTGGCTGTATTGTGGGCTGGCATTGTTAAAAGGCAACTGACTAGCTGTCAACTCTAGTTGGCACTCAAACTTGCCCTAAGCTACACGTACTGAGCATGTACAATGCAACCAAAAAACACAAACGAACTAAAAAACCAACCAACCAAAACGAAACATTGTACAATTTTGTGCTACTAAGAGGACATGTACACGAATCTGACGACAAAGTCGACCAGTGAATCCAGGATGTGATGACTGTCTTAATTCAATGTGTCTTGGTTGGAATATTGACAGTACCCGACACAATAAAACACTTAAAACGACATCCACAGGGACACCGAAGGCTTTTTTCAAGCATCTAAATACTGCAAGTGTGCTGGAAGAATCGATATATATACACACACTGAAGTATTCAGCTTACATTTTCTCCAATTAATTCGTTTCCAGGTATACACAGGTATTTATAAGGCTTATATTTACACAGCAAATACAAGAGACGCTGAAATACTTGGTGACAATTGGAAAGTAAATCCTTGATGGTCCGGACAGTAACGGAAAGCCGGTTGCTCTTGGGTCAAGTTTTTCCCAAAGACGCATTGTCAGACATGCCAAATAAAAATCTTGGCTACTCGCAAAGTCGACACCGACATTCCCAACTGGAATTGAACAATAAACATGTTGTGATTAGGTTTGATTTATTCACAAAATCCTACATTCTTTATAAACTATAACAGCTCTCCGAAACAAAAGCTGTTCATTCCACGGCCCAAGAAATAAATGATCAGTTGAATCAATCACAACAAATCAGTTCATTTCGGGAGCATCAACGGCAATTCATTCGTTTAACTTACCAAAGAACGACGTTTAGTTTTCTCCGACATATGAGTTGCATCTCTTTTTTGAAATGCCTGAGTATATATATATTTCTCTGTTCTTACGGTACTCTGGGGGAAACAGTTTATGTACATGCCAGGACGGCAGACCTATAAGCAGTTGTTAATGGAACAAAAACTCGGGCCCTGGCCCCCAAGTTAAACCACAATTATAAACGACTCAAAACGCACACGTTCTCCATGAACCTAACTCCCTTACATTAACCCTAACAGTGTGGGCGTTGTTTGGCTTAGAGTACTCAGTACTACAAAATACCAGGTAACACTCTGAGCCTGAAGGACCTAGTGCTACAAATTACTATTTCTGGCTAGGTTTATTCCATTGTTACTCGTACAGAAAACAATGAAACCATGCATTCACAGTGCCACAGCACTGTATGGTACATTGTCTTCTCGATTGTATTTTATGGCTTCAGAGAAGGTTAATGTCATGTCCTCTAACAAGCGACAGGGCCGAGTACTACATTTTACTACCAAGTAGTACCTTGTAGCATTCGGGACTGTTAGGGTTAATGGGCGCAAGACTACATGTAAAGAACATTACAAATTTAATTCCAACCTAACATTCAGTTCCACCCATAGTGAACAGAACATTGGAAGGTTTTCACATTCTGACAACAGATCAATGCTTTCAGACTTGTCTTCCAACAAAATGCTGAACAGAAACAATGAAAAGGACTAAAACTTTACCTACACTCGTTCCTACTCTAGAAGATGCAACAACAAAGTTTTAGGCAACAAACAGAGGGGGCCATCTTGGTTTTCCAATGGGCGGCGAGACTGTCGGCAACGCAACGTACTGCTTATTTGGACTAAGAGACATCTGGACATACCTATTCCCGTCTGAGCTAGTGCCCGTCTGCACCAAAGAATGATGCTGGTTCACCTTATTACTCAACCGTCCACAGTGACTTTGGAACGCACAACCAGCTGAGATGATTAATAAAACCTGCTTGTCAGGTAAGAAAGAAATCACTCTCCAAAGTGACTCTCTTTGCAGACAAGAAACTAGCAAAAGAACAAAAAAAACATTAAAAAAACACAGTAAAAATCCATTCTTCTGAATGGCGAGACACTGGCTCCGGGCGATCACCGTGGATTTTTTGTTACTCCGACTTGTGGCAGTAGAGCTCCTTGAGGGATTTCAGTTCTTCGATGAGCGTCTTGTTCTGGTTCTCCAGCACCGCCACCCGGTTCTCCAGACACTTGATGTACTCTTTCTTCTTCCGTCGGCACTCCTTTGCGGCCTCCCTGTGCGAAGGGGAAGGACACAAATGGCAAACGTTGAAAAGAGATACTGGAGAGAGCGACGCTGTCTGTAGGGGCTGTGCCAATTATTCCAGTACACAGATATGCCATCGACTGATTCGGATGTGGACATCAAAATCTATTAGTTGTTCATAAACTGCATTCAGAAAGTATATGGGTCATTCCATGAGGGTGGGGCACAATTTGCGACGGTGTCAATTGTTACATGGGTTCCGTATAAAATGAACAGCTATTTCCCTGCGTGTGGATTCCACATTGACGTTGTTATACATCTTGCAAGGCTGAATACAGAGGCGTGTGTTATTTTTACTACGTAAAGGACCTACTCTATAGGTCATGACAGGTGGTAAACGTTTTGGATGTAACAAGGACACCGTCACAAATTGTGCCCCCAACTTGTGGAATGACCCATATTTCAACAGTGTTAATACTGTAAATTAAATCTAGAGGTGATGTCAGTTTGGCATTACAAGTAGGTCGGGCAGGACACCAGCGAGGGTTTGGCGTTTTGGACAACCCACCTGTTCTTCATGAGCCTCAGCTCCCGCTTCCGGCCAGCCTCCTCGTGGACGTGTATGTGGCCCGAGGACTGGAGGTTGGTGCTGGCCATCACCACCCCCTGCGGGAGGCTGGTCGCCGGCCGAATCTGGTAGGCCTGGATGTCACCTGCAGCGGCGAGTGGGGGGGGGGGTTAACTACACATTACAGTTGGCAACATTGGAAAGTCTGGTCCAAGCTGCAGAGCTCTAAACCTATGGAAGTAGTCTGGCAGTCTGTCAGATATTACTCATCACCAAAGCCCCCACCAAGGCTTTAAAGCCGGGCACTCGGCTGCAAATTTTAGGTGTTATGTTTGCATTCAAGAATGTCACCTTTATCGTATTGAAAAAAATTGTCTATAAACATCTCAAATTGTTCTTAATTTTTATACAAATAAAAAAGAACCCTAAGATAATGACCCGGAATGCACAAGAGGTGAACTATAAACGGGGGGACTCTGAATCCCCATTCAATACTTAATCAGTCCCCATCAGATTTAAAACTTAGAATTTGGAGGATGCTGAGACAGTGAAACAATCAAAAACTCTCCCAGAAAACCCCTATCCCTGCCCACAAAAAAGGTGTCAGAAAGTAACCAGGTTCAAAAATCAGTCTTTCCTCAGGGAACTGACGACTTCCTGGTTGGCTGCTTCACCATTTACCGACCTGAAGCTGTTGGGACAAAGAATTGCTGTGTGCCATCCTGGGTCTGTATCGACTGGACAATGGTGCCGGCCGGCGCCCCCGCGTTGGTCATGGTCAGCGTCTGCAGGCTGGGCATCTCAGCCGGGTTGGCAATCTGGATGGTTGCTCCTCCTGTGGTCATCACTGTCAAAGAGACGAAGACATACAAAAAAAATCTCGTAAATTACATGTTATGGCTAAGAAGCTTGGAAAATGGATCAAGGTAGGTTTCTCTCCGGTAACTGAAATTTCTTGAGAGTTCTGATCAGTTTCCGTGTCAGGGACGGCTTCACCTTTTTAAGAGCAACAGGTGCGATACACAGTGAGTGGTTGAGAAGGTCTGAATTACTGTAATCCACGGAGTACTGCATCTAGTAAGGTGATAGTGTCCGTCCACCAAGCTGGTAAAAGGGCTTGCAGAACCTGTAGGAGACTGTGGCACCTGTACAGGTGATGTCCATGTAGGTAGTCTGTGCTGAAGAGGTCAAATTTTAACATACATACTTGGGGCTTTCATAAGGCTTGAAAACACCTGCTGGAAATTGATTAACACCTGCAGGACCTACATGTAGGTGCTTAAAGCAGGTGCTACCTGCAGGCTACCGACTAACAGTTTCACATGCAATGAAAGCATTGAAATGGTGTAGGAGCACTCATTGAGAACCCATGGTGGCCTACAGGTCCTGCAGAGGTGCTACAACCAGGGTAACTGCAGGATAAACTAAATGACTCGGTATACAAGTACCTGTCTGGAATCCATGGAGGCCCGCAGCACCTGCCAAGGTGATGGTACCTGCGTTATCTTCCTCGGTGTTCTCCTCTTCAATCCTGGCCACCCCTGGGGTGTCTGTGGAGGACAGGTCGTTCAGGATCTTCCTGCACACGGACAGCAACAAAGAGTCAGTAAGGACACCCCAAAAATTACTACTTTACATTGATGTGCCAACCTTCGATTTTCACCAAAAGGTATGGACATTGCAAAGCCCCTGTCCTCCTGCTCAGATGGAAGTGACTAGGGCATGTCGAAGTTTTCATTGGGAAGATCTTGAAAGGCTCCTTTACAACTTTACATTCCATCGCCTACCACATCAGTCCAGTTTCCACACGTTAAGTCAAGCGGAGCATGCTATTTCAACCTGTGCAAAGATCCGAAAAGGGGACACCTGCCCTACACGGGGCCTAAATATGATCCAGCACAGTTTCCGACGGCATAATTACTGGACCCACTTTTAACGTGACCACCAGTCCTGTCCATCCTCAGCTTCATCGGAGAGTCCTGGTTGTAGCTGAGGAGTAACTGGCACACATGCCTATGCAAAGTGGCTGCAGCCAGTGGCTTCCATTGACTAATGTGTTTTCCTTCAGCCGTAGCCACAATTTTTCCCGCAAGCCTCACTGGCACTGGCACACTGACCTGTATGAGGGTCTGCGTGACAGGATGTCCTGTCGCCTCTTGCGATCAACCTCGGTGTCTGGAACGACCGCTGGTTGTTCTTCTCCGTCCTGCACTGGGGTCACCTGAGGGGAACGGGGAAAAAAAATTCACACATGTAAAACTGTCAACACCATGTGCGATTATTAAAAATCACACCACAGAGTGGTTTGAATGGCAAACTTACAGTTGGCTGAGCCAGCTTTGTCTGATGGGCTGGACACCTGCTAACATTGACAGATCAGAAATCGGAATGCCCATTTTAGGTGTCCAAAGCACGATGGAAAGCTGTGCGAGGAGCCATTTTATATGCGTACACACATGAATGTACATGTACTTGTAGGTAGCAATTGCCACATTGGCATGCAACAGAGTGCAATGCGGCTCAAATGAGAACCCTCCTGAATGCAACAAAGCTGAAATGGGAACCATGCTGAATGCAATAAACCCATCAAATGCAAGTGAATGCAACGCAGCTGAAATGGGAACCATGCTGAATGCAACAGACTGCCACAAACCTGAATTGAGAATCCCATCAAATGCAAGCGAATGCAACGCAGCTAAAATGGGAACCATGCTGAATGCAACAGAGTGCACCACAGCCGAAAATATAAAAAAAAGGGTGAACGCAACAGAGTGCAACGCAGCTTAAATGAGAACCCGCTGAATGCAACGAAATGCACCAAAATTGCACTGGTGGATTTTCTGGCACTGGGGAGTGCAGTGGATAAAACCCAGCCTTGGCCCTGTCAAGCGGAAACAGTGTGCCACTCTGCCACTTATGTTCACCGCCATGTGTCAGTGCAACGAGGTGCAACAATTCTGGACCAACGGCGCATCCTGCTGCAGTCGACAGGGACAGAGGTTACAGCGAGAGCAACTCACCTGAACTTGGACCGTGTGCAGCGGGGTAGTCTGGATGACCGACGGCTGGGTGCTGTTGGACTGGATAACAGACGTCACCGCCACAGGCTGGCTGGAAATCCCGGGCATGACCACCGACACAGGCAGGGCTTGAGTTGAGATAATCTGTACCGAGGAAACCACATGAGAAAAACGCTGGGGTTTACTCAATTGATTAAGGCCCTTTGCAAATGCTCCGAGACCAACTGTGGAGATCAACGGGAGGGCAATCTTGAAAACTCTGCATGTCTGGAAAAGTTTACCACGACCAAAACTGTTACGGGACCACGAACTGTTCCCACTTCAGACCACTGATCCATACAAATGCAGACTTCTTCTGAAGCCCTAAAATTAAGAATAGAACAACTACAAATTGAAAGATTGTGCTGTCCTAAAAACAAAAAAAATTCCAAATGCATAAGGCACATTTGGACTTTTTTTAGAGAATCACTAAGTATGAATCCACAGGCCTGATCACTTGTTTCCAAGAAGTCACAGGAGAGTGATTAAAGGGACTGACGACTGCAGCATACATGTAGGACAGAGACTGAAACAAAACAAAGTGCTTGTTAGCCCCTACGCGCCGGGAGACGGTAAGAGCCGCCGTGAAAATTGAGATCCTCAGCCCGCTTTTCAGCTATTATTCTCGGCCCACGCTCGAGCAAACACGGTGAAAGAAGGCAGACCCTGGCTCTTTTGTATATGATGATTGCCCTTTGTGTGTAGCCCAGAAATGAAAAGACCGAATTTGCATCATAATCACCAGCTTCACAATAGCCCCCACTTTGAAAACAGGCAATGGGAATGTGGAAGCGTGAGTACAGCCACATGCCACTGAACAATGAGCCTTTTCACTGTGTAATTCAAAAAAATAATTCAAAAAAAATTCCTGTCGTCAAGGGGTTAACATTCTGCAGCAACGCTTGCCAATGTATCAAACACTGCTCTCAGCTGCGGCACACGAATGGCCGATCAGTGCCAGCTGCCACTCGTGGCCTCGGTAAAACTAGACCATCCTTGCAGTGCCTGAAATCCCTCCCAGCCTTGAGGGAGAAAAGGAAGGAGGTTGGTTGACGACCAGAAATCCAACGAACAGTGCGCTTAATGTTCTTTTATCATTTGCTCCCCAAATTTGCCCGTTGAAAATAACCCAAGGCTGCAGACTTTCTGTTTCTCACTACCAAAATGTAGGGGGAGGGGTATAAAATGGCTCCCCCTACTCCGGTCAAACACTGAGGGGAAAACGTGTCGGAATGCTTACCTGTATTTTTTCCTCTGTAGTGGCACTGTTGTTGGCAGTGCTGTTATCAGTGTTAGTTTCTTCCTCCATGCTTTACTGCGAATTCTCCGAGTGTGGTACGATTCTAAGAGCGAGGAAAAAACAGACAGCAGTTTGACAAACGATCAAGGGCCAATTTCACAGACTTGCTCAGCACTGCAATTTGCAAACAAATAAAAAACTTTGCCGAGCAAAAGGGAGTCACCAGCCAAAATGTCATGCACTCTGTGTGTCTCGTGACTGGTTCCCGGCCAAGCTTTGCTTAGCAGGTGACAATTACCCGTACAAAACTGGGCCGAGACTCTTTAAAAAAACAAAGCATAGTTCTGCATGTGGCTTTTCGTCTAACCAATTTTTAGCATGTCACTGTACGTGTAATTACTGGCACAAGACTGGACAGAGCCTGTTTAACTCCAACAGGTCAGACTATTGAAATTTGAAAATCAACTGGGGCCATTTTCATAGAGCTGCTTAAACACAAAATTTGCTTAAGCGCGAGAAAACCTTGCTTGATAAATCAGGTAACCAACCAAAACTCCTTGTGATGTATGTTGTTTTGGGATCATATTAAGCTGTCTGTTGGTTAGCTAACAAACAAATAGAGTTTGACCTGGTAACATTTGTTTTTTAAGCAAGGTTTTTCACGCTTAAGCAAATGTTGTGCTTAAGCTGCTCTACGAAATTGGCCTCTGGTATGGATGAGATACAATGTAGGTTTGACTTCACAGGAACTCGTAGTACATGTACCTAACCTGACAAAATCAATAGCAGTCCAGCACACAGTGCCACTAGTTATTCACTTCACAGACACCCCCCCGTGTGTCCCCAATCAAAATAAAATCCCAAACCGTACATGTATCACCCCAGGCCTCTGATCCCCGATCCAACAAAGGTGAACCACAAGTTCACAGTGAATGGCACTGAATTAGAAGTAGGCCTACTTAGGATTAACAATGGACGCTTAGGATATATGCAAACAAAACTTGCTGGGGTTTCACTATTTCTACAGTGACACATTTGGTATTTTGTCACGATGACGTGGAGACTTTTCCTACATCAGAAAAGCGAACAGAGACGAACACAGAGCAAAATTAGATATTATTACCATTTCCAGTCACATATGAGCCTGCCGGAGATATACATGCACATGTAAACCAGGATTAGAATTTATCATTTTTTTCATCTGCAAGTGAGTTTACACGTACTGGTGTACGTGTGATATGTCTTGTCTCAATTTACTAGTCCTTATGCCATGTTTCCATATGCATTTATTCAGTTTTGTTCTTCAGCAAGAAGTTGAACTGACTTGAATGAACGGCAAAAGTTATTTGAACAGGCCGACATGTTCCCTCATCTAACACGTATCTGCCTAGTCCAACGATAAAAAAATGATGAACCATAAAATAACAGTGAATAAATATGTGATTGGACACGACTAATGCACATATTCATTGATGGATTTTCAGCGATTTTGTTCGAGAGTTTTACTTTCATTTTCCCGGACACCCCCGTCCACTTTATGGAATATTCCTAGTGCAATTGGCACGCGCGTGGCAAGCCACGTGCATACAGACTCTTGACCAATCAGAATCCATTCAACTGCCTCGTAAATCGTATCCAGGTGCCAGCATGTGATTCACACAGCGGGCATTATCACTTCTCAGGGGGGCATTATCAAATGCTAATGCACTTACACGGTCAAATTGCAGGTTGTTGAACTGTTTGAGGAATTTATGAATGTAAATTTAGCCATAGCCACGCACAGATACCTACTGTAGCATGCACATACAGTCTGATTACAGCAAAAAAGCCCTTGCCATGTCTGAGGTCACATGCACTGTACACTGCATATGGCGGTGACCTCAGTTAGCGACCCACCCACCGAAGTAAAATGAGCATGACCTCATGCTCAATTCACAATTCACACTGGCAAAACCAGCACTCACACAGTTTAGCAAAGGCCGTGTACATGTGCAGGTACCCATATTGTACGTTGCAGTATACACTAGCTAACACGAGTGAAGCTAGTTGGAGGGGCATCTGAACTGTTTTTGGGGCCTTGGAGCTCAACTTTGCTCCGACCAGTCCCCAGGAAAGTAGGACTCACTGCGTGCTAGATTTCTAGCAAGTCAACAGATTTAATCTACACATCCTGTGACAAGGACACTCACATGTGTACATGTATATACACGTACATGTCTATACGTCAGTTGTATAGCAGCTACGACGTCAGCCAGACACAGATCACAAAATCAACAACCTACCAGCAGTTATTCTTACATGTACATGTGCGTTAATGCGTAAGTGCGCAGGCACAAGTACACGTGTGTGTCACGTACACGTACGTAACTGGATTTCTGTACACCACGGACATTGCATGTGTACATGTAATCAAATATTTTGCAATGCAAAATGTAGTACAAGTCAGGGTTCAATTTTTGATGGACAAATTACCAACTCCCAAGAGGCTATTTTGTACCCAAAAAAAATGGGGTTTGAAAAGACACCCTCACATGGTCAGGAAGAAACAGTCAGGTGTGCATTACACGCAGGTGAAGAACACAATTTGCTTACAAACATAAGCACTTGTACATTTACATGTATGAATGGACTTCTACAGATTCATATGTACCGGTACGTGTGCAGTACTGTAAGGGTTGGTGGAAGAACTCATATGTACATGTGAAATACGTACATTGTAAACTGCATTACAAATGAAATGCACACTATTGTGTACACATATTTTTCAAGTAGCTCCGTGTAGACAGGTAGAGCTTTGTACACTCCTAAGGTCACACAAAAATATACCCTCAGTAGTTGCATGTCCATGTAAGTTAACACAAACCAAAGCTAAGCTAAACAAACAGAACAAAAAATTTTAATGTAGAACCTACATCTCTTTGTTCCAGAACTTATTAAAAAACAATTGGTGCATTGTGCTGTGTTCTCCCTGACTCAGACTTCATTACTTTCAGGCCAGTGAGCTCGACAAAAGTGGCCTGCTCTCACATGAACACACTTGTAACCACCACAAAATTCGGCCTTTTTTTGTAACCACTCAACCAGTGACTATGCAGCTCTGACACGTTCATGTGGTATTGTATATGTGCACAGTGAATTACATTGTCCCTTGCACAAAAAAAATATGACCCCTAACCTAAGTTACTCCTTTTCCAATGAAACGGAAACACATGTTTTTTTAATTCGCCTAATATAAAATGAGATACCAGGAAAACCTTTGAAGGGAATTTACAAAAAGCCTGTACTTCCATATACATGTACGTGTAACAACATATACATGTACGATGCATTTACATGCAGTCTGTCAAGCACCATGCACATTCACAAAAAGTGCATGCATACATGTACAATGTGCATGTAAATCCATTTACAAGTGTTTTGTTAAACAATATGGCGAGTCAGGTTGGTGTAGTGGGTTCGAATCCCACCTTGGTCAGCCGGTGTACTGGAGTTTCAGTCCCTGCCTGATTCCGTGGGTTTGTCCTGCAACATTTATCCGGGGTTTTCCTCCCACCTCTAAAACTGAACATTTCTTCATTTTCATTTAAACTGTCACTTCGCCCTGCAACTGGTGCTACATGCGCTGTTGGATGAACATATCAAAATTAAACATGTACATGTACAGGCAACATGGGTGTACATGTACGATGTACATGTACATGTAGTCATCTAACCTGAATTTACACCTTCAGCCAGCAGTGCTGTATGAAGCGGGGACATGAACACATACATGTACAACATGTAAGCGCATAACACATGTACTATCCGTGAGTATTGTTTTTCCGTATTTCAAAATTTAGTGATCTGCAAAAAGTCTTCACGTGGTGAGCTTTGTCATTTGGGTGCGAATCGACTCCAACTATAATATGGACACTCTCTTGTTTTCCGATACGTGTCCATGTATGTCGCATTAACATGTATGAATCTAGGTTGTCTACAACATGGATCTAGGTTGACTGGAATCACGAACGAAATGGTTTCGAAAACGGGACAGTGTCCAGATCAATTTGAAGTTGATATGCACCTACATGTGCACGACAAAGCTCACCATGTGAAGAGTTTTCGCATCTGATCACATCACAAAAACGCAAAAATGTACCATTTTATCAAGTTTGCAACCCGCAGTCTAGCCTTCTATGAAAGTAATACGTGAACAAATTATGTGAATATTCATGCACTGGTTTTAATACAGAATTTTAAAACCAGATTGGTGCAGAAGGCACAAGAATACTACAAAATTAAAATTTAAAGCTATCGATAATTTTTTATAGCAAGTATTCATTCAATGGGGAAAAACGCTTTGCGAAGTTAACTCAATAAATGCCACAAAACCTGTTTAGCAAGAACTGAGTTTTTCTTCAGACACTGACATTCAATAATTCTATACAAATTGCCAGCACTGTGGCAAAACGACGGTATCAGCTATCGGTCTGACAAAGACAAATTCTCCAACTGCCCGGCAATGCATAACAAAAAGCTGGCCTTTACCCAAAGGGAATGATGGACAAAAAAAGTATTGACATGGATGACCTGACACCTAATAGCCGATTTTCAACCGTCAGCGCCAAGGGAACTTCGCAAATGACCAGAACAATTCTCCGCTTAAGAGCATTGTTGGCCCGCAGAAATGTCAGAGCTCAAAACTTGGTAACTTTATCCCAAAGCAAGAACACTTCAATTTCAATTTCAAAGATGACTATATCTGAAAGGTTTTGAGTGTCTGCCCAATTAAGTGTGTATCTTGCTGACATATTCCAAAACTGGTGTAATCTTGAGGGAAAAAAGAAAACCAATTCTGTTAGGGTTAAAACTAATTTTAGGGTAAAAATACGACAGTAAGTAACTATCACATATACGTAAATGCCACATCAATATTCCCTTCTACATTAGAATGTACAATACGAAGGAATTTCTGTTCAAAATTCAAAACACAAAAATTGATGTTAAATGGAAAATGGATTTCCAGCTTTGAAACAAATTTAACAAGCCCAACATGGTTTGCAGGGAAGTACACAAGCTAGGGAGTGAAGCTCACGGCAAACTCTGTCAAATACAAGCATTCACTTCGTTTTGGTTTTGCAAACTGGCTGGAAATGTAAACTTGTTCCTGTTTCATTTAACTGGATACTCGCCACACAGACAATGAAAGTGAAGCAATTATTACGCTGCGAATAGACTACAGGATCACCCAGGAGATGCCCTCAGAATTTCATAGAAAAATCCCTTCCTCTTTTTAGCCATGGACACGTTCGTTTATGCGCACAGTATGAACAATCAACATTTGTAACTTAATCAACAAACAAACAAGGAAACATCGTCCTAAATCAAAACAAAACGAAGGGGGCATTATCTTCTACAATACTTAAGTGATTCCTGGTTTTTTGTCTCGACTCAGGGCACAAGAGACTTTTAATTAGCAAGTTAAAAAAAATGCTCAAATGTGGGCAACCACCTCACGCAGCCACAGGGCATGCAGCAGAGTACTACCAACCAAATGGAACGAGCTGTGAAAATTCACTTCTACCTACGGTATCAACTCTGAGGCAGAAAGGGCACTTGGGATGGGATGATTTTTTTCAGATTCAGGTGGTGTCATATAATTTCTTTGAGCCCTCACTGGACAGAACTTTGTACACTGAACGTACATGTCCGTGTACTGTATGTGCACAGATGTAGGCAGCAAGCACCCCATAATGCACTGCCACATCGCTACTTCCTTCACAAATTTTGCTGAAAGTAATTAGCCCATCCCAGCACCGTGCGAAAGCTGGGAGGTGGGGAAAAGTGAACTGTTCTAAAGGACAAATCAACACACACACACACACGATAGATGACTGAAATTCGAGCATGCCATATCGGCCTAAAACGCACATGAAGCCTTGACCTGACCAGCAGTAGACAGTGTACAAATTCTAGTAAAAACGAGTGTGGGCTAGTATGCTCTTAAACATGGTAAAGAAACACATACAAATGCACCTGTTTGGATCTGTAATTTGTAAATAAGAATTTTAAACAGAGATTTTATGATTGATTATCCGTATTGTATAAATTCTAACAATTTTGAAAACTCCATGTTTAAGTTTTTAAATGGACAGCACAGCTCAACAGCAACGTTCAAAAAACTAAAGTGGAAAAAAGCATGTCAAACTTAACAGTTTGGCTGAATGTCCAGTGGGCTAGTGAAAATTCCTGCTGGCTAGTGAAAAAATGCTAAAGGACAAAACCTGGTACAACAGTATGCCTTTCAAATAAATTTTCTGCCACCATCTAGAAATGTTTTTTTTTTAATTTTTCACAAAGCACCAACCCAGCAGATTTTAGTAGAACTAAATTGGTAACAAGGCAGAGAGTGTCCACCAGTGTGATGCTCTTCAAAGGTACAAGTAACATTAATTAAGGTTGGTTGGTAGCAAAGATCATTTAGCGTGGAGCTATTCGATCTCTTGTTGCTACTATTGTTTTCTCGTATCACGCAAAAATTCATGGGATTAAGGATTAATTGCAAATATGGCGAAGGAGACACATGTAAGGTTACATTTCAACTGATTCTGACACGTCTGAAAGACAGAATATAAGATGAACATCAAAGACCAAATGCGATTGATGAAAAAAAGTCCGGGATATGACCATAGGCACCACTGCCTGCCCGATAAGCCTAAAATTTAGACATCTATTAAACTGGTATACATGTTACATAAAATTTATCGGTCATCCTTGCTTTGTGGTTCGCCTTTGACCCCTGACAAGGTCCATGCTAAATTGCAGAGTCTTGCAGTCAAAATGGAAATAGTTTTCAGGATGCCAGTACGTGTATTTCTCCACCACTTCCTGAAGAGCACCCCATATTCTCTTAGTGCACTATCAACAGGAAAACAGTTCCTCCATTTGCACACCTGACATGACTTTGACAAAATGAAGCGGTTCCCACTATAAACAAGTGCTGTCCGACATACATGTACTTGAAACCTAAAACAGATTTCTACAGGCCAAGTTTTTTCAGTCTGTGGCATGCAGTCTACTGGAACTCTGCTCGCCGTCTTGCGCCCTTACAATGTGCCAGAAAGGGCAAATGGGTCCCAGCTACCGACGAAAAGCACTGGGCGGCTGTCCTAATCTAATTTGTGCATGCATGTGGACTGTGCACATGTCACGTACGAGTAGGTGTTGACTTGTGTCACTGCTAAACTGAACTATATTGTGTTACTTAAAATTAACAAAAACAGAACATGACAGACGGGTAGCAACGCACATGCACATGAGAGATCCAGCTTTTAGTCTTCGTTCAAGGCGTTATTCTACCCAAAATGGAAGAGGGATTATGCGCGCGTTAAGTCGTGTCCGTGTGTAATGTCTCTAGATGGATCTGTTCTATAGACTACTCACGTCAGCTCGTTCTGCTTGCAATTTTTACATGACATGGCACGAGATTTAGGCTAGCTAGAACGTGTATTTTCACCAGGGACGGCAAATCAATGAAAATCCGGGAAACATATTTCTGCCATGCCGATATCTGGATTGCCGGATAAAACCGGGTAAGTTTCATCACTGATAAACAAATTTTTTCTAAATGAAGAAATTTTTCATTAGAAAATCAGCTTGTTACAGTGGTTCTCGCAGAAAATGGATTTGCCGCCCGTTTTCCGGTTACTTTCTGGACACCGATCCAGAATGAGGAAAAATGTTGTCACCACTTTGGTCGATCCTGTACATCCAAAGTAAAAGTTTAAAATTTGAAATTCATTTGATAGTATCTAAAACACACAAGGTTGGCGACTGACCACATTTCCCTAGAATTTGAGGATTTTTTGTAGCTGCAATCTGACGGAATAATTTTCGCAATCCAAAACTGGGAAAGCAACTGTATTAAGTGCAGAGATCTCACTGGTCAAGTTGTCTCTCTGTCAAAGTCGAGTTGTCCCAACGGACGACTTGGCAAACGGTCAAGTTGTCTGAACAGTCGAGTTGTCCGAGGTCAAGTTGGCAAACGGTCGAGTTGTCCAATATCCAGCTACATGTATAGTTGGCTATACTGGAAGTGGCACGATGGGGTCGACAGTGAAGGCCCAGTAGGCCTTAGTGCAGTTTTCATTTTTACTTGGAAAAACAATTAGGGCCTAGGCCTAAATTTGAGCATAGGGCCTTAGTATTGCTATTAATAGGGGAAGTAACCTTGGCTAGGCCTATACAGGCCTAGGCCTAAATTAGTAACCTAGATAATGAGGCAAAAAATAGGCCCAGGCCATACAGGTCTATCGACCAGGCTAAAGCAGACCTTAACTTAGTTTAACTGTCTGCGTCCATGCTAGCAAGTGCATGAATGCAGTAATCATGCTTGCAACCGCTGACTAAGAATTGCTCATAGTCTACGAGGCCGGGTAGTGGCCTAGGCCTACTTTGCTAACCAAGACAACCATGACAACACTGAACATTAAAGTTAACGACCCAAGATGTACAGAAACGTAAACAAATTCGGCAATGGGGACACTAGGTTCAGTCAACGTGATCTCACGATTCGCAACGACGAGACTCGTTCCTGGGTGGCTCGACCCGGCTGTCCGTCCACGATTCCCCTTCCTGTGTCTGCCCGAATTACCCTCCATTTTGGGTGATTGGGGACCAAAAGGACAAGCATGGATCCCTGGAAGAGTTGGTAGAGAGCCACGCTTTGTTGTTTTGGTACCCAGGCCGGTGAACGGGCGATCAGATGAGCGAGTACTTACCGGGTTACGTATTTCTCGTCACACCGGTGACGCGATCGGAATGGACGCCCCGACTGCTACGTAGACACACGTCAAAATACGCGACACATCGTCATACACATGCACACAGCAGGCGAACAACAAAAGCATGGCCGACTTCGTCATCGTCATCATGATCATCATCGAAAGGCCGGCTTTCAGAGCTTATCCATCCGCCTTCATGAATATTCATCTTCATTTGTGATTTTCCACCAAATGGTCGGTCATTTGCAACACATCGGCTTCAGAAGTATCACACAAAGTGAAATTTGCTGGAAAATATCTATTGGATAAACCAAAATACTATTTAGTTTTGTTATTTTGGAGGATGGATGAACTAAGTAGTTACATGAATTATTCAGTACTCTAATTTATTCCTTCCAATGGTCGAATCGGTTTGGATTACTGACGTCATTTTGACGTACTGCAATTGGTCCGCTTTCGTTCGTGCTGAAACTGGAACTACTTTTACGGCAATTTTCTAATTTTTTTTTTTACGTACAAGTTTTTGCTTTCAGTTTTGGTTCAAAAGAAGTTATGAAATGATAGCTAAAATAATATTATTTTTATCCAGAGTTTCACTGAATTTTCACAGTTGCTATTGCTAAACGGGTAGGGAGTGAAAACCATCGATCCCACTCAGAAACCCTTGCTCTGAAATGAACAAAGCGCATCAATTAAAGGAAATTGCGAATTACATGTAAAAGGTTTCGGCCTGCCTGTAACTTGTAAGTACTGGGGCCAGGGGTAGTGTGCATTGTGCACCCCGCTCGCAAATAAGTTGGGATAGATATCCCGACGCCGGGGTAAAAATGAGAACTCTGGGCGTCCTGGGGTACGACCCCCGGCTGGAAAAAAAAAAGAAAATATGTACGTTCTACACACTGATGGAGATCAATGGTTCTACATTCTCACGTACAATTGTCCCATTTGGTCTATCTGGCGTAAAATGTCAGGCAGACAGTGGGCGAGAAAGAAACCCTTGACCTCCCAAGGGCTGATCGAGATCCAAATTTTCGGCAGGGGGTTGAAGTTTTTTTTAAGGGGGACTTGCATTTTTTTTGAGTAACCCTTTAACCTTTAATGACCTTTCTTAGGGGCCAAGCTACATTTTGGGGGGCTTTTTACACGCTTTTGGAAGGGAAGGAAAAGACCCAAACAATCGCCTTTCTCACAGTATTTTCCCAAAAAGGTCGCCATGTGGGTAGGCTTGGCCCCTGTACACCCCCCCCCATCTGCCCATGTAACCTCCGCGACTAAGTCGATCCTCCAAAGCAAAGGGCACATTTAGCTCTGCTACATACACGGTCATGCATAAGGAACGCGGTTTTTAACTGCAGCCTCAAATTGTTTCTTCTCTACGAATGTGATTAGACTAGGTTACATAGGCCTATGTTTTAAGAGCAGAAGTTCTACAAATGTACGATGAAAATCTGGAAAGTATTTAAAATGCCAAACGAATATAATTTAATGGTCAAAAGTGAAGTACTTGGAAAAATGTTGGTGATCTGATGAACTATTTTTCGTTAAAATGAAACGCGGATTACAATTTGATCTTTGGTGTCAATAATTATATTGTTTCGTATCAACAAAAAGATAATTAAAAGTTTGAGGTGAAAAACTTTACACGAAAACTCCAACGAAAAGTTTAGAATTAATTGTAAGTCCATTACAAAACAAACGTATTTTGGTTTAAGATTTGATCTTTGCGTAGTGCTCAGAAACTTCGGCCTTGCTGAAAGATCGGCTCTCCAAGTGCCGTCTTCGTCGGACACCCCCCCCCCATAAATCCTCCTTTATTTGGTTTCTTGTTATATACTGTAGTTAAATGTTGCAGTAACAAAGCGTCGGCTTCAAATCTTTCCAAAAATAATTTCCAAGCCGGAGACCTTAAAAATGACATACCGAATGGAATCGAAGCTGAGGGTTTCAATACGCACTCGGAGAAAACAGTGCAAAAATCAGACCGAAATCGCGTCGCGTGTTGACTCTCGGGAAGAGGTTGCCTCTGCTTATCACTGGAAATTCAAGATTATAGCCAGAAGATCACTTTTCCCTTCAATTTCATGTGGGTTAGGCACGAATTCAAGTTTTTTTTAATTCGCCTTTCCAGAAGATACCCCATAATATGATAAACCTATGCGCTCAGTTCTGAATATAGCCGCCCGCCTCTATACAAAATAGGCCCGCAATTTGGGACTGTTTTTGTGAAAGAAATACCCCGAACTGGAAACTATCATTCCCCGGAATTCGGGTTTCATAGAAATATTTTTATGATCTATCCTGATCATGGCATGTCTTTTTGTAAAATTCCCATGGTCGAGTTTGGGCGGCTTGTTCTTGACACGGGTTTCTTGTTCTCGCGTTCGAACGGCGGGAACACGACTAAAGAACACTTTTCTCGGAGCAGGACAAACCACCTCCTCGTCAGGGTTTCACAGGAACAAATAGAAAAACTCGTGAGATTTTGATTTTTGAACTATTGCAAAGAGTAGAGAGATGGCTTCCAAAGCCATAGATAATGGCAAGTTTTGCAAAATTATAACATTAATTATTTTCTGTAACACAGAAATGAATGTTCCTGTTTATATAGAAAAGAATTCAGCCCATCCAAACATTAACTCTCGAATAACGTAGCCTACATGGACGCAGCCATGTTGCATGTTGCTTGTCACTAACTCCCATCGGTAATCGGTTGTTTGTTCCCGGCGTTCGAGCGGACGACCCACGAACAACAAATCGAGCTGTTCGTGAACATACGATGACAAGCCGTCTGAACTTAGCCCATGTGATCACAAAATATGATTGAGACCGACTGCCACTGGAGGGCGCTGTTAATGGCTCTGTGAATGAAGAAGAAGAGAAGCGAAAGAGACAGCCTACCTTAAACGCAAATAATGGTTGAATTTCATCGTTTTGCGTGTTCGAGGTAGAAACTACTAGCTGCCAACAGATTTAATACAAACCATGGTTTTCCACATCTGTAGGATGGGCATGCGGCAGGGTGCCCATCTGAAATTGTCTGCCGCAAAGTTATGTGGGCTTACCCTGGCTCCCAAAATGGCGCCTTGCATGCAGGTAGGCCGCCTAAGCTTTATGATTTTGTCTCCAGGAACATGTGCAATAATGGCATAAAGGCCCCGATAAGCTTACCCCTAACTAGTAATTAACTTGTTGTTACTCTGACAACGAGCTGACTGGGACAATCGTGAAGCTCGAGTAAAATTAGGAGTTTGAAAAACAAGGGTCATTGTCACAGCCACTCTCCATCATCACTGATCATCACATGCATCATGTCCATATGATCATAATGATCAACATCAGATCATGTCAGACTCCCTAGGCCTATTTATTTATTTGAGAGATGACTACCAAACAAATCCATAATCTTTCAATATTTTCAACCGAATATATACTCGCTGTTACCTCAAACGTCAGGTGTCCTACCGGGGCATGTTCGTCTCCACCGACAACCTCATCACCTTCTTCACAGGCCACAAGTTCATGCACAAGTTTGACGAGCGCAGCAAGATTGTGGTGGTGGATGGCAACATCGGCTGCGGCAAGAGCAAGTTCAGCCAGGAACTGGCCGCTAAGCTGGGCATGAAGTACATGCCCGAGGCCCACGTCCATTACCTGGACGAGCTGGAGCTTGGGCCCGGCAAGAAGTACGACCCCAAGTACATCGGTGAGTAGCTGGCGTTGTGGCTCAGCTTTCGCCAGTGAACTCTTGGACAGTGTCTGAGCCAGAGCTCAGAATTTGACTCAAATTGTTCATTCAGACTCGAGTTACAATCTTTGCACTCGGGAGTGAGATTTTGTCAGGATTTTTCCTGATTTTAGGGGTCTCGTCAAGGATTTTTCTTCAAACAATGTCTTTAAAATCAGGAAAATCCTGAGTTTTCCAATTAAGAAGCATTTACATAGGGACCACTAGGAATGGGTAATTTAAGAAATTCAACAGTAGTCAATGTTTTGTCTTGCATTCCCACAGGCAATGTCTCTTTGGAGCGGTTCTACAAGGACCCCTTCGACAAAGACGGCCATTCCTTCCGCTTCCAGATGATGATGTACGCCATGCGCTTCAGGCAGTACGCGGACGTCCTTGAGCACCTCTTGAAAACAGGTGAAAAGATCCAGCCGTTATTTAGCAAGATTTAAGTGACGAACAATACTTCTTGCCCTGATACAAATTTCTATTCCTTTCAAATTTTTTTATGAATAATTTAATTGTTTTTTAGTCATAAGATTTTTGTTGCTTTTCATTTGAATCTGCTTGAAACAAGCCTCCATAGTGCAATTTCTCACATTTAAAACAAAAGAAACTTCTCCCTTTTCATGAATTTCATATTCAAATATTCAAATTCAGAAAATAACATTCTAATACTCGATAATTGATCGATTATCCGGATATTCTGCACAGCCCTATCAAGGCCCACACCATTCCACCTTGACCTTTGGGTGTGTTATCGTTCTTCCAGGTCAGGGCCTGGTCATGGAGCGATCCGTGTACAGCGACTACATCTTCATGGAGGCCATGTTCAAGATGGGTTACTTCAGGAAAGCATGTAAGAGACAAAATCTGTGTAGTACTGCAGGCCACTAACATACACAGGCTGAGTCCTGTATACGTGTAGAAAGCTTAACATGATATGTTGGAACACCTCAAGTGCCAATATTGGCAGTCAATATAGTGGCAATGTTATTTACACATGACGTCAAATGTGGTTTAGTGGGTCATTTATTACTACAAGATCAAAGAGATCTTGTTCTTGCTTGCATCGCCCCTTGTCATCCAGGCCAAGTCCATGTTGGCATATATTTGTGTACTAGTGCCCTCCCCACCAGTCAATATGATTATATTCCATGATTGGGCATGTACATTGTGTTGTACCCTCCTTTTCACTCCACACAGGTTATGATTACTACAATGAGATCAAAGGGATCTCCTTGTATCGTTTACGCCCCCCTCACCTAGTCATCTACTTGGATGCGCCTGTCGACGTCCTCCAAAAGAGAATCAAGGAACGCGGAAAGGTAAATATCTTGGATTTGATACACATGTACAGTTTGTAACCCTATACTTTGCAAAATCTGTCCGGTTACTGCTTGGATGCTCTGTCAAACCAGACACTCTGACTCTCCAACGTCTGTCCCATTTCAGGAGACAGAGGCTGAGATCCCGAGCGAGTACTTGCAGCACATCGAAGATGGCTACAAGAACCGGTTCCTTCCGCAGATCAGTGAGACTTCCGAGGTCCTCCGCTACGACTGGACCGACTACGGGGACATCGACCTGGTCAGTGCCTGTCCCCCTTTTCTGTTCCCTCCTGAACGAAGTAAGCCACGTCGGAGTGGAGAAGAAAGGAAGGTCAAGTGAATCGGCGAGATTCGTGGTCATGTCGTTCATGCAGCATTCACCAGGATTAAACTCCAACTTGTTAAGCATTCTTTCTTACCAGGATGTAGCCCCGGTCCTCCAAATCTTCCATTATTTCACACACGCATTCCTTTGAGGGGTGACCACTGCGTTAGTCCTTCAGAATCGAGTGCAAATGGTATTCCCCCCCCCCAAAGCAGTATGGACGATTTCCAGTGTGATCGGGGGCCTAAATGTATGCATTGCCGAGCATTCACAACACAGGGTGTGCCCCTAGACCGTGACGTGATGCATCCTTGGAATTGAGCTACAGTTTAGCCGTATTCTCTCATTCCTTGAGAATCCTCATTCAAGGCGGATTTTTTTTAAGGGTCTCGGAAGGGTAGAATTGAAAAGGAGATTCAGTAACACCCATGTTGAAACAGTGCACAGATGCTGCAGACCTTCAAATTGCACATCATAAGAGACCCCAAAGATCATTAATCAGTTCATCTTTACAAAAGAAAACAGTGAAACGTAAACAAACCACCGCATTTGACCTTTGAAACAAAAAGTATTTTTTTAAATGTAGAGTTACAAAGATGGCCCAAATTTTGCTCACTTTGCTGCGTCCAATGTGGTCAGAGAATGTCCGAAGTCGGACTACAAGTGTATCCTCATCGGTCATTATGGGCCCTTTTTACACAGGTGGTAGACGAGATTCAGATGTTGAAGTTTGAGCACCTGCCTTGGAACACGGAGGACGACGTCACCTTGGACAAGCTCTACCGATTGTGAGTACTCCAAGCATGCCCAGGCGGCATTCAAATTGAGTGACTATGGCTAAAAGTAAACACGAGCTATGGGAAGTGGCCGTCAGCTGCGAGCCAGCAGATTCCATTGGTTTGCACATAATTTCAAGCCATAGCCATAATTAACAGACATACCTACAGAACCCACTGCTACCTAGCATCATACAAGAGTAATACACAGGGATGTTGAGATATTTTTCACCCTGTGGCTTCCAGTGATGACCAATAGCATGTCACAGACTGTGCTGAAAAGGTTATATTTAGACACCTCGGCTCCATCAGCCAGAGGTTATTTTTTAAACTCCATTGTACTCTCTCAACACTGTTCTCTTCACCAAGAGCATGCTATAGCAACTTGGCACGAGTATAAAGTAGAGTACATTTTGAGTATTTAAGTACTAGATTGAGTGTTCATAAAGAACTCGAGTTCCAGAAAGAATGATGAATAGTGACTCGTGTATCTCAGTATTAAAAAACAAAAGGAAAGATGAGAATTAGGGTGTTGAAAAGAGCACATGAAATAATTTATAAATAAGCATGAGATACAGTTTGAGGAAAAGACTTGGCATATGAATGAGTACTGAGAAAGAACTCAAGTACTAAACTCAGTTCTATATTAACTTGGGTACTAGACAGTTAGATACAGTTGAGAAACGGCTCACACTTTGAAATGAGTGTTGAAAAAGAGCTCATGTACTAAACTGAGTTCTATGAATACCTAAGGTACTAGACTGAGTGTTGAAAAGTGCTTAGGTACTATCATTTGTACTGAACAAATCGCTAATTCATGTTGTGCATGCATGCTTTTATATTGCCATAGTGTCTATAACAAGTATCACGTCGCACGCTGTATGGACATCCCAAAGTATCTGCCCGAGTTGACGTTTGGTGCCCAGGAGTTCTACGATTTGACGAGGGAATTCGAAGAGGTGAGAGCATTAGGTCTCCATGTGCGTGAAATACAAGATTTGAGATAACATGGCAAGTTTATAATAGTGAGCTTTGGCCATTTGAAATGGGGTTTTGAATTTTCATTTTTATATAAAGCATATCCGCAAGGCATCCATTTCTTCCTTGTTTGATGGGGTTGGTCCGTAGTAACCTTGGCAACAGGTTTATCAGTAATTGATTCACATGTATATGTAACAATTTCAACTGAACATCCTTCAGAATTAACTAGAGTTATTGAAAATGGTCAGAAATTCTAGGAGAAATTTAATTTCACTTGATAAATAGCATCTACACAGAGAATGTTACACGTGAGACTTGAGGCAGACACCAGATAGCTTCCCTACTCCAAACGGTTAAAAGCTGCGGCTGTTTCCCTCAATGTGCAATTTTATGTCCCTGTGATTTATTCTCAATCTCTTTTTTTTCCGGTTTTTGTCTTTTTCTCGTTTTGTGGTCTGCAGAAGTACAACAAGCATTACGCTCCAGGTTACAACTTGAAGGAAGGCGAGCCAAAATGGAAGCTTTTCTTCAAATGATCACGCTCCACGTCAGAGCTCCTCACATCATATAGTGTATTAAGATTTTAAGAAAGAATTTAAGGGGGGAGGAACAGCCCGATGGCTGTCTTATGTTGAGAAGTTTGTTGTGGGACACAACGTTGGGTTCTTAAGTTTCTGGAAGGGACTTTGCAGAGTTTGTAAGGTGCACTGTTCATTCAAGTTGCAAACCGGGGGACAAGTTTCACAGCTCTGGCTACCTAAGGATAAGAAGTAATGAGTAACCGCACTAGAAGATAGCAAATGAATGATTGGTATATTCCCCACATCTGACCCAAATTTTAGTTTGTGGGTTAATATTGTGTGAGCAAACACTCTACTCACTGGTTTAGCAGGAAATGTTTGTTTCAGAACTGTTAGCAGGGATAGGTAATCGCCCTATGTAGATATTTATCGTGATGCTGCCATGTTGGTCTTATTCCCGGACACCCACTGGCAATAGTAATACAACATCACATATCGATGAGGGAACAGTCTATGTTTCCTTCAGCCTCAGTTTGATTACATTGCTTTGGATGGTGGAAAAGAAAGATGGCTGCCCCATGATGGAGGTCTATAAGAGAACACTATGGCTGTGTCCAAATCATTTGGCTGTGACTTGAAATCACGCACGATTCTATGGGAACTGGCCGCGGCTACTTCCATAGACTCGTGTGTAATTTTAAGCCTTAGCCAAATAATCTGGACATGGCCTGTCTCAAAGCTTAGCTGGCAAATTGGCCAAGCGTAGAAATTATTTCCCAGCAAAAACGGGTGACTTGCCAAAATGTCGTGGAGTGCACATTATCTGTGACTGGTTCCCTGCTGCCATCCATGTAAAATCGTTAAGCAGCGTTTTCTGTTTGGCGACTTTATGAAATCAAGTTCAGGTATTCAGCCCTTGCTTTTAACATCGTCACTGGGTGTTGAATACTTGACACGCAGTTGGGCTGCAAATCCCACAAGTTTTGAGTATTCTTATAGAGGACATCTGTGTGAAGAAAAACTTTTTGAAACACAGCGAAAACAAATACATGTATAAAGATTTCAAGGCCAGGTTGTAGAATTTGGGATGCTGTTCCCCATGTTTGAAGACAGTTTGTCAAAGGATATTTTAGCATGGCTTTATTTTGTTTTTTTATATGCAACTTCCACCACCTGCATGTACATCTACACCGTGGTTTTCAACATTTTGATTTAATTCACACCAAAAGAGAAAAAAATTGAAAATAAAACATTTGATCAGTTTTTCAGAGTAGCACTTTTCCTCTTTTGCACAGCAAGTACGACATCTTTTGGAAAGAAACAGAGCTGAACTTTTCGTTTATGGTAAAAGCCGGTTTCAAATGGGATGATGGGAGTAAGCATCGAAACTTTACAAGCACAGGGGATTGTTTTTCTGCAGAATAATTTTGGCTCTTCCAAATTTAAGTGGAAATGCTTCTCAGTTTTAATACCCCAACCGTGCTTTTTTTCCCTCTTCACTGAAGCTCAGTACCTCTAGGCTGTTCCGGTTTATGAAATTGCCTGTTTTTTGGTCAACGAGGTACCCTTCTTCAGACCACTTTTTTGGAAGTTCTGAAAGACAGTTTTTGATTTTCTTTTCCTGTAGATAAAGGAGAGACGCCATTGGCATTTCTGCGTGGATTGTAATTAAAAACAAATACATTGTCTTGAGAATGGATGTTCCACAATGCTTGTGTTTGTCGGGCATGTCCATGCAACATTTTAACCGTCGGCATTTTGTGCATTTTGAAATCCTGCAGTTAACGCTATCCACGCATTAATTTTTTCCCTACAAAATTCGTCCATTACACTTACCATACCCGTGGTTTGTAAACACAGCCAGTCAGACATTCGGACGCACACAAAACATGCACCAAGTTTATTTCACTTTTATTGTCCGTCCAAATATATTAATCTTGTGCTCGATTCAGTCCTGTACATGAAAGCCGTACATCTGTTTACCTCATGAACAATCTCATTTAAATGTCTGCTACACTCATGCGTAACATCTTATGAATAATCACACAAATGATATCACGAATAATTATGCAAATGACTGTTGATTCACAGTAAAACACGGAACAAGTAACGCAGTTTGGACTTGTGCGCTATTTACTATGTTACTGCAAATGGACCTCGGTAAAGGATGTTTGGAAGTTTTAATTATAAAAATAAATCACATTTGGCACATGTACAATTGAAAGTTGACAAGGTATATATAATACATGAATGCTGCGATGAATAGTACAGCTCTGTACATGCATGTAGATTAACAAAAGACCTTCACAGGTATCCACCATCCCCTCCATGAGTACCAGTGACTCCTGATTTTTCTTTACGTTCCCATGACACAGATCTTGTTCACCGGTGATCTGAGGTCAAAACACTTGCTAGCTGATTGCACCATGCTGCTGGGGTATTACCTTCCCACAATGCTTTGCATTTCGTTCACACAGGTTTGTGCATGAGAACAGCTGACGTAATAAGGTGGGAAGTGACTACATAAACAATCGAATTAAAGAGTTATAAACAGTTCAATAAAAATTCTCACAAATTTGATATCACCGAGGTTTCTAGATGGATTTATCGCCCACTGCATCAAAGTTTGTGGGGGGGGGCCTGTTTTCAAGATCCTCAAAGAGCCAATTCCAGCATTGGCAATGTTGACAAGATTTTGCTTTTTGCCGATGTTCACACCACTGCAATAACAGCTTCACCAATTCTACATTTTGAAAGCATGAAAAAAATGCAACCAACACAACTGGTCTCATTCTGAGCCAAAAGCCAATATACAAATAACAGAACAAACAGCTGCAGTAATGCCACTATTAAAGAAAAGATCCTTTTGAACGGAATTTATATCCTCATACAAAAAAAAATTCAAGGGTGTATTCGGTGGTGGGCACACAGGGCATACATGTATATGATATGGTTAATTCGTAATGTACATTAATTATAAAACCACTGTAAAACCTTTTTAATTGAGGTGAGATCAGTTGCTTTTGTTACCTCCCATACAGTTCTTGGCAACAACCAATGTTGTTGGGACCCCTCAAGACCATCACAAGATCCCACAAGATCCCACAAGACCCCACAAGATCCCACAAGACCCCACAAGATCCCACAAGACCCCACAAGATCCCACAAGACCCGTCTAAATTCAAGTCGCAAGCCATTCACACGAACTGCAACAAACGCATTCCTCTGTCATTGTACACCCTGTTCCTTGTCACTGGTCATGTGACTGGTCTTGTGATGTTCTTGACAACACCTCTCACAACCACCCAAAGCAAACTTAAAAACGATCACAATTCTTCCAAAAAATACAATTAGCTTGAACAGTGATATTTCAGGCATCGACACAGCCGGGAATTTAATACAAATACAAACAGGCCGAATGTCTCCATTACATGTATGTACGTTTGGACCCCCCAAAAAATGTGTAACAAAATTCCATCCAAAGTTTGTATGCAATTTCAAATGAACAACTTGAGAACTTTGGTTTCTTCTGGTGCATTTTTTCTTTCTTAGGCCTGGCACTGAAGAGACGGCAATGATTCAATGGGAAATAAACTTATTGCACATTTCATTCATCAAATCATAAATTTACATCAAAAGTCATTTACTGATTGACACATGCCGATCACATCTGGAGACGGAAGACGTCTGATCTGAACTTTGGCTTTCTTCTCAATTTGGCAAAGTCTGGACAACTTCGCCGAAGCTTTGCTACCGTGCAAGTCTATGGGAAAGGGATGTAGCCACAAGCTGGCGGCTTCCACAGCCGCCTGTGTTCTTTCAAGCCATAGTCCAAGTAATTCAGGCATGGCCTGTCATTCCACTTGTGGTTGGATTTTTGCAACTATAGAGGGTTTGCATGGCTGCCATCTTGCAGGCCAGAACTGCCCTGCAAGATGGCTACCGCGCAAAGCCTCTATATGCTTCAATGCATGACTGACCTTTCTGTTAACTTTTACCCTTTAGTGGTTTTTATTGTACCAAAACTTATTCGATGACGGCAGCTCAGAACCAACTTTTTCCTGGACCAATCAATGGGTAGGAATTCTAAAGCAGTGCGCCACCACGAGTTTGCCAACAGAGAGGCCACTTTTGAAGTTCAAGGTCAATTTGTGCACCTGGTACATGGATCAATACAAATAAGAATTCATCACTGATTGACAGTGTCACAGTTGGGCCCATCAGAAGTCCACTCACAAACTTTGATTCACAAGAAGGCCGGCGTCACGCAGCATAACGAACAGTAGCAACAATGTGAATGCGTTTTTCATGGCTCACCGGACTAGCCTGTGACTTGTGATGGACTTGTAGGGACTACAGCACTGCCGTTCACGTGACACACACTCTAATATCTGGAAACATTAGTCTTAACGACCATCCATTGGTGGATGGGGGGGGACATGGGGAGAGGGGCAGTGACCCCAACAAAGGGGTAATTTGGGGGGACAGAATGAAGTAAGTTGAAAGGGGGGACCTACTTAATTTCCCCTAAAACCCAAAATTTTGCCTCAAACCTCAGCGATGAGGTTTGAGGCTATGAACGGGAATATATAGAAATGTTCCCCAAAATGCTCTTCCTTCCCCACCCCGCTTTCAACACAAAAAACCTCCATATATGTAATACATGAACCTATAATTATGGCCTAATATAAGAGCAACACACTCGACTGAAAACAAAGTTTCACGTGACTCTGATAAGTTGCACAGCGCCCTCAACGGATCCCGCACAGAACCCAATGAACCAATTCACCGAGGGAACAGTGCGCAACATCTGCGTGGTTACATTGCTTTTTCAAATACGTGTATTCAACAGGTGGGATACATTGTGATAGACGTCCTTTGCATAGCCTATAAACACATGCTCACTACCACAAGATGCCAGTTGTTACATCTGCACCATAAAACTACCAAAAGTACTTCAGTTGTAAAGGTAATGAGCAAACCATATACACGTACTTGCATGAACTTGTCCCTTTTGACAAAATTTCATTACAAAGATGCCTGTGACTGTTTGAGTGCACAGCAAATGGTGAACACAACAAGCTGGTCCCCCCTGATATTGATGCAACTATGGACCTGCTTTTTCTAAATGACTACTGAGTTTGTTCTTCTGGACCCTAAAATCATATCTTTCAATCTGCTGCAGAAAAATAAAATCTGGAATCTTGAGACACACTGTTCCAGAATTGCATTGCACGCTACAAAACAGTTTATTTTGCCCTCCAAAATATGATGCAGGTGTAAGAAAAAAAATGCGGCTGAAAAGGTTATGTACATGCTGCACCAATAGATTATTGCATTTTTAGGTCATTTTCTTTTGTGTATATCCACTCTCAGCTTTAACATCATAAAAAAAATCACAGATTTATAAAACGTTTGCATTTATGATACAAAAAGTGTGTCTACAGACAAAAACATGTAGTTTGGAATCCGACTTTGCGTTCAAGGACAGACCTGTAAGAAATTGAAAGGGATTCTGTGACATCAACACTTGGCCACGACAAAAGCAGATGCAAATAAAAACAAAGCAGTTCCTGATGAGACTTGAAGTGGGCCCCGTGCTCAGATGTACACTCCATACTGAATTGCACTGCACTTTGTTTTGATTTTGGTTCCAAAGGTCTCGTGCTCCAGTTCGGACGGGACAAGTCTCAACTTGCGAGACTGTAAGGCCGTTAAAACCCTCAAAGATGGCAGCAGAATTTTTCCCCCGGCCATTCATATTGTTCCGTTATGGGCAAGTCTGCGCGCGCAAGTCATTCCCCCGATTTCAAATGTTGTTTGTTACAGGGATTGGTCAGGTTTGGTACTGTTATGCAGGCAGCACGAAAACACTACAGATGTATACATACGGCTTACTTCATAGATGATTCCTATTTAACATCATCAGGGAGTTTGTATTCCGCGTTAGACCCATAAAAAAGAGGTTGCAAAAGTGTCAGTCTGTTACCACAGCAACCATAGCTTTACCTGATCCTTGCAAGGTTCAAATTTCAGAAGAAATCTCCACGGTAATCGTAGGGGGACACTTCCAACAGAGAAACATCACTAGAGTTTAGGTCCTCACTGTAACACCATTATGGTACACTCCCCAGGGAACTGAGATGCTGTCAGGAATGTTCAGGTGTGAGCCCAATGTGCAGGGATAATGATCATGTATTAGTGCCTTTGAATTAGGGCTGAGTCAATTCAAATAATTCCCTATTTGAATATTTGACCTTCAATTCAATCGAATATCCGAATATTCCGTCGTACTGAGCGGCAGATTGTTGATGAACAAACCATACACAAAACCAGCTGCAATAATGCACAATATTGTACATTATAATCACTATAATAGCTTCTCACATCTAGGACTATCTCCAGCCATGATTTAGCAAGATTTAAGAGATGAACAATACTTTCGGCCCCGTTGAAAATTTCTATTCCTTTTAATTTGTTTAATGAATAATTTACCTGTACTTTCTGAATCACTGTAAGATTTCTGTCACTTTCCATTTGAATCTGCTTGAAACAAACCTCCATAATGCAATTCTCCTCCTTAAAATGAAAAGAAAGTTCTTCCATCCTTTTCATGAATTTTGCATTTGAATATTCAAATTCAGAAAATAATACTTGAATATTCGATAATTGATGGAATATACGGATATTTGGCACAGCCCTACTTTGAATTACAGAAACCATAAGATACTGTGCGATTTATGCTTTGATATTACTGTTTTTACTCTCTAATGACTGAAAAGGAAAACTTGTGAAAATCCCTTCCAATATGCCAGTCTGTTACCCATGGAATACCCACTGTTGTTCTTTTCACGTGGTGCACTGATAAACTATGTATAATGTTCCTTACAAACTTGGACCCCAGTTTAATGATGCTCAGATGCATCGTTTCAGAGCCAAAATGAAATCTCAGGTATAGCAGAGTTGCATCTGACTTGCCGTTGTTGACTTGAACTGATGGTGCAAATTTAACAGCACAGGGGATTTCCCAGATGACCAAAAAAAACAACAACAACACGGAGTCACTTCCAAACCAGACGCCTTCATTTGTCAGTCGGAAACTTGTCACACACACACCACTCGTTTAAAAAAATACTGATTCTGTTTGTTTTTCATAAGTAAGAATCCTCGTAAAAATTCCTGATCGGGTAGCAAACAAGACAGAATTGGGTCGGTCTTCATTCTTTCGTACGCACATCTGTCGTTCCTGCAAATTGCAAGAGTTTTGCCACACAATCTGACAATTCTTATGTACAATGTTTTTTGTTGCTTGTGTTTACAGCCCAATCTTTTCTTCTGATAAAATGACAAACAAGGACACGGAGGGCAAGAATATTCATATCATAATTCAGCAAACAACACAATCAGAAAATATTTACGATTCTTCCGAAAACTCTACGGGAGTGGTATAAAATATATAAACTCACTTCGGATAAACTCGGCTGGAAAATTCTGCTTCAAGTTCAGGAATTTGTTAAGAATATATATATTTTTGGTAGCGAATTAAATTCTTTAATCGATCCAAAGCCTATATGTTTTTTTAACCCTAACAGTACCGGGCATTGTTTGGCTTAGAGTACTCAGTACTACAAAATACTACGTAACACTCTCAGCCTGAAGGACCTAGCGCTACAAATTACTATTTCTGGCTAGGTTTATTCCGTTGTTACTCGTACAAAGAACAATGAAACCATGTATTCATAGTGCCACAGCGCTGTATGGTACATTGTCTTTTGGATTGTATTTTATGGCTTCAGAGAATAATAATGTCATGTCCTCTTACAAGCGACAGGGCTGAGTGCTACATTTCACTACGAAGTAGTACTTTGTAGCATTCGGGACTGTTAGGGTTAAAGGACCGTACACTTTGCACACCACCTGTTCCTCTATCATGGCCCAAACATTTGAGATGCCTGTCTATGATTCATGAATAAGAGTTGAAAACAACTGGTAATCTGAAAAATCTGATGACTTCTATTCAGTCACTCAATCCTCAAAGGGCCAAGAGGGGGAACCACCCCTATTTGTTTTCTCCGAAATCATCACGGTGCTGTTTTCTTGTGAAGAGTATTCGTAAGACTTTTCACTGATGTCTTTGCATCATTTTGATCCCAACTTTAAGGAAATCAGAAGCGCTGTTAGCAGTTGAATGCCTACGATTGTAATGACAAAACCTAATGGTGGATTGTATTGAAACTTCAAAGATGTACTCATATTGAATGTTTTTAAGTGCACGCAATGTTTGGTCCTACAACAGCCGAGATATCCCCCCCCCAGGTGTGAGAAGATCTGACAAAACCTGGCCTGTTTTGGATTAATACAAATGGGCCAGCAACTCACTGAAAAATGTCTGTTTCATCAATTGTACCTCCTCCCCGTGAGTGACTGGGGATTGATAGCTGATGGCACAGCGAGCTGCGCATAGATGAGGTGGGGCTGTTCCATCGACGACCGCTCCTTCCTCTGGGGGCGTCACCTGGTGTCGGATCGCTCAAGGTGTCGCCGTCGCAGGCTCCCGCCGGCAGCGGCGGCAGCCGGCTGTGACATCTGTGATTGCAGCAGCTTGCCGGAGCTGTTGCTGCTGCCACTGTTCCCCCGCCGCTGACGCACCCGGGGTGACTGGCCGTGTAGCTTGCGAAAGATCTGGGTGAACTTGTTGGCCCGGAAGATGACGGTCAGCAGGCCCTCCAGCACTACGTAAAGCAGGCGCTTGTTCAGGATGCGGTTCTGCAGCATCTGCATCAGCCGAAGCATCCCCCGCCGGCTGGTGTCAGTGCCGATGAAATTCTTCAGCTCGTCTACCATGGCCGAGGAAAAACCAAAAAACAAAAAGGTCAAATAAAACTTGAAGATCTACATAACCAATCAAAGTGGAAACAGGAAATGGTATGTTTTTAGCAGCAAGTCCTCACAAAATCCAACACCAATTAGGAACCAGTGGACACATACTACAACCATAACTATTCACTGGGGCATCAACCTTCCTCAATCCTTCAAATTCCCCCAAAACCTCACATGGGATTTCAAAGATTAGTAGTTTCCATTGAAAGTTTCTAACTTCAAGGTATGCTTTCGTAACAGAGAGATCCAACTTAGCAGATTTATTTTTGCCCCTTGCCAATACTTACAGAAGGTCAAAAATACACGTGCACAAATTTCCAACCAGTGGGCAAAACACTTCTACTGGCCTCCTTTACCGCTTTCCAAATGCACTGAAATCAACATACTGAGTAGGCCTATAATCTCTCATTTGGGAGATGACACGATTCTGTTTTCAACATGTCCGGCAAGCTCCATTCCTAACCTGGTATGCCGCTGAAGAGCTTGACTTTGGCGGCCACCAGGGTCCGTAGCTTGACGTTCTCGCTCCGCTGCGGTGACGACTCGGCCAACACACCGCCCGGCCAGAAGGATTCCCTGTAAGAGCAACATGACAAGGTGGCTGACGGGGGCTACTGCATAAATATTTAATGCTCTGAGTGGTGTAGAAGAAGAATACTGCATGGATCACTGAGGGAGTGTTAGCACTCCGGAATACATGAAAAAAAAGGACACGCACATGTATGCAAGGTACCAGTGGTCATACGCATAGTCCTTTGGTTACCATGGGTACCGTGCTTTGGTTGCTACGGGTACAGTTCATTAGGCTGCGCAAAGCAAGATGGCAACCATAACGAATGCCATATGACTAGCTCTCAGCCAATCAAGATGCAGAATCTGTGGGTGAGATGTTAAGTACAAATTCTTTCAAACTGGAAAACTCTGCCACCATCTATCCTACATGGGAGGGCTCACTTTCACAGGTTAGTTTAATGTCTGATAAATGGGCAATGATCATGGAAGATGACCCATGAATATGCATGAGTCCTGTAGCCTTCATGCTACGTTAGAATCAAAGAGGTAGAACGTACCTGAATTGCTTGACGTAGTTTGCCACTTGCTCTGGTGAGGTTAGGTCCTCCACACTCTCAACGATTTTGCTGCAGAAACCAAATTCACAATATCATTAAACCCTGGCAAAGCTTAGGTATCGAATGGAGAACCGTGGCTCTGTAGTTTAGTGCACTGAACCTAAGATAGTGTGAATACTCCTGTACACTGTGGGTTCGAGTCCTGCCTGTGGGGTTGTGAGGTTTGTGTCCTTAAGTAAGACACTTTACCAGCATTGCCTCTCCGCTCCACCATCCAAGAGCACCATCGATGCCTGGGAAGCCACATCGGGCTAGTGCGCTTGAACCGTTCAACACACTGCGCGTCATTTAAATGTTTACGCAAATCTTTTCTTCCAAGGATTAAGCTCGGTCCCATGTTGGAGTCAGCCTGTCTGGGCAAATGGAAATGCCTTTTGAATGAACTCTTGCAGACTAAGGAATGGGTTCACGGCAAGTTCACTTGACAAGAAATTTTGGGTTGCAAGTTTGAATCAATTCCACCGCACAGTTGCAAAGCAGAGTCCAAGCAGTCGCCAGACGTTCATCTTGCCTGTCCGTTAGTCAGTCCCTCTGCCTACCTACCTGTTGATCTTACTCCCAAACGCCGCCTTGATGATCTGCCTCAGGAGTGTCGCCACCTGACGCCGCAGCCACTGGTCCTTGCTCTTGAGATCAAAGACTTCGTCCATCAGGAGGAGCATGATTCGCAACGGAATGTTGTCATCGTCCTGTTTCGATAGCACAACGTAACAACCCTCGCGTCATTTGGCTGATTGGGTTACACCGGAATGCCCCAGGCAACTTGAGGTATGGTTGTGATTTTTAAAACCAGCACCTTTGCAATCTCTGCAGTCATGTCTGCAGAATCAAGGTATGTGGTTGCAATCTTGTTGCATATTGGTTGCAATTAGGTTGCAGCTTGGTTTGTGCAACATTTGGCTACACCTTGGTTGCACTTTGTCTATGAAAGTGCAACAATTTCTGGAACTGAATGCACATAGTTTTCACTTTGGTTGCATCTGAGATGCAGCTAAAACTGCAACACTGTCATTTGGTAACAACATTTGCAAGAGACTCTAAGTTGCTTTTGATAGGACATTGACATATCTAAGAGTGTTGTCAGATTTTGCCAAAAGAAAGGTCAACTTTTACGGAGGACACTGTCAAAATTTGGAGAAAGTTTACAAAAGCTGACTGACTCACATCTGCTCTGATGACATTGGAGACTCGTCCTAAGTCCTCCAAATCCTCATCACGAGACTGTCGAAGAGAATATAAGCAATACACCAGTCAGACCCAAATAGTTTAAACCATCTGACATAAATTTCTTCCCCAGATTGAGAGAGCTCATTGAAAGTTGTCCTGACAGCCCAAAACTTTTAAACATTTGACAGAGGCACCATTAACCACTTGCTGCCGGTTTAGTTTGAAGTTGCACAACGTAAAACCGGGGGATTTTCACGATTTTCTATTTTCAAAATTCTTCAAAAAATCATAGCTTCATTTACTGGACGTTTACACCCACACAAGTGACTGTCTGGTGGCTACTCTAATCTAACAGACAGCATCTATTGATGCCAGAGTATTTCAGCCAGGCCTGGTGCCTGGTAAAAATAGCCCAGATTGTGCAGTGTTACATAAATTTCTTTTGTTCCCGAAACTGGCACAGTGCGCAGCTGGCGTCTTTTCAATAGGGGCCAGATTAACGTGCAGCGGTATTGTATCCCTCATCACTGGAGCACCTTTGACCCCGGTAGTAATCCACTCACGCAGATGCCACAAACAGTGATATAAACTTTTCAAACAATTACGGATTTCCTCTGCTATTGACAACTGAAAAAATGTTAGCAATTCCCAGCAGCTCGGTCTTTCGTTCCCAAGTACAGTCTTTTCTTATAAGGCCCAGCTCTTTCGTCCGGTTTTGGGCTCCCCGGCTTTGTGTATAGAGCCTATGTACCTGAAAACGGGCACCCCGGCAGGAAATGGTTAATTGAAGATCAAACAGATTTCACATCTCTTTGATGACAAGATATTTTGACCCCAGCCTTGGCACCTCAATTCCGTTTCTCAGAATATCATTCCACGTTCTGTCAGCAATGCCTTTTTTCACGGACTCGATAGAAGTGAGCTAGAAAAACAGTGCATTTCAATAATCTGTCAAAAGCAAATCAAGTGAGGTAATACTTTGTCAGATTTTGTTGGGAGGGTGTCACTGACATGAAAATGACACGACAGGGCTTACCTTGTTGGTGAAGACTTTGTTGATGCTGTCTGTCATCTTGTCCGACACCATGTTAACACCGTCTACCAGGTTGCTGGGCACCGAGCGGACGGTGTGGGCCACGTTCCGCACGCCCGTCTTGAGCGGATTGACGATGTGGTCCATCTGCAGGAGGGGCAGAACACATGTTGTTTGGTGCGTTAGGGTGTCCAAGCAGTTCGGGAAATAATGTGAAAACGAGGTACGCACAGGTTACAGTTTCATCCAAACCTTTCTTGCGAGCTGTCCCTTGCTTCTGTTGTAGACTCCGGGCTCCAGGAAGTTGCAGACAACGGCTTGCATGCCCGGGTTGTTGCTCTGCACGTCGGGGTTAAGTAACGTCTGCACAGTTAAAAAACCAAGAAGTGAAGGCTGAACGTTCAACATGGCATTTGATACAGGAAAATAATACTGCAAAAAAACTACCTCAATGAAGAACAAAAAAATTGGACAAATGTTCAAACGCAACAAGTGCACGTCTGGAATAACAGAATAACAATACAGTTTGCCGAGATTCAGGACAGTTCAGCCAGACCCACTGGGCTAGATGACATTCCACTTTGTTCACGGATTAAAACCAATGCCGTGGTTTTCTTACAGAGACGTAGGCTTAGTTCACATTTAATTGGCTACACTCAGAAATAATTCTCCAATGGTTGAGTGGATTGGGACATTTCAGTTGTCATAAATTTAATCTTTCCACTGCAAGAGTGTGAAATGTTAATATTTGTTTTCAATCAGCATATGAATAAATCCCCTTCTGAACAAAACCCTGTGTCTTATTCGAGCTCAAATATTTCATGTGGCCATGGAATAGACGGTTCTATTTACCATGGAATGACAGCAATGTTCCATTTGTTCTCATTCCGGAACAGACAGCTGTTCCACTGGGAACGGGGCATTCCAATCAGAATGCTACCTTGGAAATAGTCCATGCATGAGGCGGACCGTTGCCTTGACTTGGGAACATATTGGTGGAACAATAGTGTTCCTGACTTTTGAGACGCTCCCTAACTAGGCTATGCATTAGGATGACAATCATTCATGGACAAGTACTCGGCGATTTATTTGGTTGTTGCATGACATGCCATGTCTCACAGGATGGACTTTTTGTCCGATCTAAAAGGCTTTCCTTCCAAAGCTAGCTGGAAGGTTTTGACAGCCCTAAACGCTATCCAGGCCATGACAAACAAGCAATAGGAGGGTTAAACACAGAGGACCGGCTACAGTGTGGAGTCTTCTGAGGCCAAGCGCGGTTCCCGTTGTTTACCTGGAGGTACACCGTCAGAGCTTTGCCCCTCTTGTCCACGAAGCTCTTGGCCGTGTTGCGGATGGCCCGCTTGCTGGGCAGTGTGAGCGAGGCCAGGTTCTCAAAGCGCTCCGTCAGGCACATGTGCAGGTCGTGGAAGTCGCTGAACCGCCGGTACACGTCCCAGATTTCCGTGACCCCCTTGCTGTCTGTCCGTGTGACGTGGATAGAGTACACCGCGTACGTTGTTCCCTTTTCTTTGACTAGAGCTGTGTGAAAAAAAGTCACGGCTGAAACCTTCAAAACCGAACTGGAGGCCATCTTTTCTGGAGTCAAACTGAAAGCCGTTCAAATGAATGGAGACATTGAGGTATTGGGGCATGTGTGACCTAGAAGTTGGGCTTTGTGACTCCCAATCAGAGGGGTAAGGGTTCGAATCCACCAGCCGTTTACTTGTGTTCTTGGGCAGGTCACTTTACCCACTACTTGCCTCTACCCACCCGTGTGTAATTTTAGAACCTGTTAGAGTAGAGGCAGGATGTGCATTCATATAGTCTGCCGAAAATTGGTCTTGTGGTCTGATGAAAGAGGTAACAACTGCAATACCTTTTGACCACAACAGTTATTACATTTAGTACTAAATATCCTACGCAACATAATATCCGCAGAGCTGTAAATTTTTTCCAAGAAGGTATGAATGGCACCTACTTGAGTGGGTGATGTTTGCAGTGATGCTGGGCGTACTGTCTGGGGAAGAGTTGGTCGACGGCAGGCCTACTTGCTCCAGTGAACCCTGGCTGCCCATCGATGACAAATCTTCCGACGACTGGAAGCGAAAAAGGCGGACGGAAAAAGAAATGGACAAATAATCGTCCTGAACTTTTGCTACACAGCTCATAAAGCTGTCCCTTTAGTCTGAAACGGTATGCAACGATCCGCACAGTGGCTTACCCCGGCATTGCTGATCTCCGGGGACGAGTCCACCTGTGTCATGTCATCATCGCCAAGCCGGCCGCTGTCGTCGTCACCTTTTAAGAGGTCCAGCTCCTCCAAGCATTTGACATAATAGCTGCTCTGCTTGAATGCCGGGAAGAACCTGTCCTCTTGAAGGATCTCATGCACCTGTTGCATCGCAGATAAAGGGAAACAAAGACCCATCAATTGAGTAGACACTCTTACATGAAACCATCCGTTATCCTCAAAAATCATCCGCTGTAAAATGAAACCACCATTTTGCTGCTTAAACTTTCACGAAGTGTCATATCCAATGTGAAAAAAACCCAGATTCAAGACTCTTTTTATAACAAAACATATTGGCTAGGAAAGCACAGATTACAACAAGCCTGCCGATCAGGGGTAACGATATGATGCAATATGACCCAAAAACTTTGGTCGCCATGGGAATCAGTAAAACGTACTCACTCTTCTCTGGGCGTCGTCAAACACAGTGTCTGAGAGCTCATCAGATTTTATTCTTTGGTATGTCCTCTGGACTATTTGTTTCCCAAGCTTCACTCGGTTTGATGCCTTAAAGAGAGCAAAGAAGACATGAAACAGTCATGTGATAGTTTATTGCAACTTCCCAATGGATGAATACACAACAGATGACTGTTACGTGATCACAGATGAGCCTGTTTTTACTTCAAGAGCAAAATAACATTTATACTTTTCATTAGTACCCCACTGCCAGTCAATATGCACATATGCTCATATTGACATATCTACTATTGATGGGCCAAGCAAACACATACACTTGTCCCCTCAATGCTATATAGTCAATACATGGCCGCTTATATTGTCATGATGAACCCATTCCTTTACAAAACATGTAAACATACACTATTGCCCTCCCCATCAATCCGTATGCATCTATTCCCCTCCAAACATTAGTTGCTGAACCAAGTGAATGCCACTCACGTCTTCGGCGAGGTACTCCTGGAAGATGTTGAGCGCCGCTTTGCGGATCATGTCCACGCTCACGTTGTGCTCCTGTTTCCTCTTATTGGCCGGCTGGAGTCGCTGGAGGTGGAGCTCCGACAGCTGCTGCTCCGCCATTGCCCGGAAGCCTTCCACCGTGTGCCAGAAGAAGACGTAGGCCTGGCCGTTCACGTTGCGCATGAAATCTGCTCCGGACGCCAGAATAAACGGGACAGGAATTCATACCATCTGTGAATTAAGTTGCCGATAATATCCTAGAATGCTGCTCCAATAATAAACGCTTGTGACGATCATCCCCGTCCGATCAAATGCATGCGTTTAACGATGAGGGGCACTATATACCAAACAAACACTCAACGTTCTCTCAAAGCTCAAAAGGAGAACTGTATTTCTTACGTACATGTACAGAGTCTTGCCGATAACCACGCAATGAACCAAAAAATGAGTTACCCTCACAAAAGATACGAGTAGCAGCCTATTTTTTCATACGGACCTTGACATTATTGCAAGGAGCTTTACAATGAGTGCAGTATGTTGGTCTCGGATTTGCTCAGTGGAGTTTACGGCCCCTGAAATCGCCACGTGGGTTACGCCGTCATTTTGTTGAGCAAGTTATCCGCTCCGAGCAGGAACAAAGAGGGCATTTTGAAATGAAATTGACAGCCCTTTTCGGTGTACATTCACCGCATGGGTGCCTAAGTTTTATGCGCGTTTCAGGCGGGGCACGGTGAGTACGTGCAGTAAATTTAGTCTGGATCGTTTGGTCTTCGTGTGCAGGCCAAACACGTCCTAGAACACGGTTGGAAAACTTAATGCCATCTGCCTTTCTTTCGCCCTTGAGGGTGCACTTCAGCTCAGGGCAGATAGACTTATGCTAATAAATCATGGCGCACTTGCGCACTGCATAACTGTCGTGAAATGTGTTAGAACCTGATGCCCCTAGATTCCTTGTGAAATCAGCAACAGGCCATGTTTAATACGCATGGAATCCACAAAATTGGAAAGAACAGATTCGATTAGTAGTGAAAGATGTCACACGTGTAACTTTAGCGGCAACGGAGGGCAACAAAAAAATTAAATGAACCTCCAGAACTGATGCAGGCAGGCACGACAAACAAATAACTTATTTTGCATGGCCTTCTTAAGGTACGGACAAAAAGAAGTGACTTACCAATAAAATAAGACACAGCTATGTTATTAATGAGGATGATGTCGAGGGGCAGAGAATATAGCCTTGTAAAGGACAGCCCTTCATCCGAATTCTGCTGTGTGAAAAATCCAACGACAAAAAAAGGGAAAGAACATGATTTTTTTTTTCTTTGGCGGGACGAGGTTAAAGGGTCACGCAGTCTCACGCTTTTTTTTAATGCACTTATTGTGGAAGGCCCCTTTGTGTCTTGATTCTGCAATTTTTGTTGTGCCACTTTGAGGGCATCTTGGTTTCTTGAAAAGAAAAAAAAATATGGACTTGCATATTCATAACCAAAAATGCAGATTGTACTTTGGCGATTTGTTGGTGTTCCCATTCATGACTGTGGGTCAGTGACAAAAGTTTCTCATGAGTATTTTCAAAAAGAAAATTGTGGGTTCACGTTTTGAACTGAAACCCCCCCTCCCCATCAATGGTGTCTTCCTTGTAATGACATCATAGCAACAGTGTCCTCATCTGTCAGGAAAAGCATGGAAAATTAAAACATTAAAAAAGGATGCCTTTTGATGACAGTAACAAAAAAAAACATGCTAGATATAGTTTCTGACATTTACTTAAGAGGAGTAGAAAGTTAAATAAAACATGCTTCCAAGTAAAACTTCACACCATCTGGATGACTCCTTTTAATAATTTCATCTAATCAAGTGCAAGGACACAACCTCAACACAGTTTGTGACATATCATCAAATGCAGTGCATTAATTTTTTTTAAGCTGGAGAAGAGAAACGGTGAGTTAGGAGAACAAGCATGACAAGGGCCATTCTATGAATTCGAGGTCAAAGTGTGACATTTTTGTGAGGCATTTCCATGTCACTGCTACACCTTACCTGAGTAAGCTTCACACGGACATATTATTGAAACTGACTGCAAACAATTTGTCTTTGACAGGTGATCTGCATTGCTCAATTACTCTTCGCAATGAAAGAACGAGTTCTAAACTGACAAAATCATACATCAGATGTGACTGAGGTACGAAAGGATACGGCCGTTTCACAATAGTGCGCCACCAAGAGTTTGCAACGCATTGGCCAATCACAATGCGCGAAATTTGTCGACCCAATGCGCATTTGGAAAGGGTCGACAAATTTTGCGCGCTGTGATTGGCCAACGCGTTGCAAACTCTTGGTGGCGCACTATTGCGAATCGCCCGTATTGGACCCCATATTTATAGAATGACCCACATGTCAAGAGACTACATGTACTAGTGACTCTGAGAGGGAAAACAGGCTTTCAAACAAAGGACACAGTGGTTTAGTTGAAGACATGTAATGCTAGTTTTTGGAACCTTCAAACTTGTGACCAGCCACCACCATTGATCCACAGAGTTGTGGCTGCGTCCAGATGTCATGGCTGTGGCTAGTGGTACCACACTGGTCTATGGACAGTTGTAGCAGACACTGGGCAGTGACTACCAGCAGTTATAAAGCCATTTCTGGTTGCACTCAGGATTCAGGATGCTACCTTAAGCTTGTTAGCTACTTTTCAGTTAAAGCAATGAACTGGCTTGGAGGACATCTCAAGCCTTGTAACAACACATACATGTATTTAGCCGATTTGAAGCACGGGGGACATCCAAAGAGGGCGCTATTTGGTTCGGTAGAATCTCCAAATATAACCACTTCAACTAGTACCCTCCTATTGTGTCCGCCATGCTTTCAGAAAGAGTACTTGGAATTGGCTGCTCCTCAAAAATGTCACTGAACATTTAAACTTAGTACTTAAAATAAGGGTTTGAGTATTTCAGAGTTATACAAAATTAACCTGGGAATGGGAAATTATTTTCAGTTTTTCTCTTCCTGGGGAATTCATTTTCAAGATGTGGTTTTGCGTCAGGGAGATGTTAAATGTAACAACTGGTTTCGCCCCTACATGCACCCGAGGTGTATTCATAAACACTGTATACTCAGTGCTTGTTCGAGAGCTTGCAAAAAATTCACAAGCTCACACGGGTAGGACAGGATCTCGTGGGTTCGAGCCCCACGCGAGTAAAAGCTTGTGATTTTTTGCAAGCTCTCAAACAATCACTGATTATACAGTGCTTATGAATATGCATGTATGTCGGGCATGGGCAAAACCTCTAATTAGAATTGGTTTTCATTTTACAAACTGTGAAAAGAGTTTCCCACCACTATCTCCCATTTTCACACCTTTTTACTCAGAGTGGGACAACAATTTCATGCCTGCTCACTGGGCAAAGCATGTTCATGCCTTGTCAGACCGGTGGAATAATATTTTCATACCGTGCGAAAAGTGAACGTGACTTGTTTCACAAAAATTTCCTGCTCCCGTTCACACTGTTAACTTTCCATTACAATGTGCTGTACATGGATGTCAGTGGGTCTGAGAGCTGGGACAAGTTGTCCAACACAGTGAACAGCTATTTGTAAATCTCCGGAAATCAGAAGGGTTGAGACAGAAAACCACATGCTACACAGTCAGACAGCTCAACTTTTAACCAACACGGGGATTAGTTTGTTAAAGAAAATGGATGTGAAAGGATGAGAATATGTACATGTTCAACCCAACCATGTGGCAATTCAATATGTGAAACATTTAACTGCTGTGTTAAGACTTGGAAGCTTGGAAAATGAGCCAGAGATGCATGTAGAGAGAATGCCGTGAAAGAATGCTTATGAAAGCAAAGTTACAGTCTTATCTGTTAAATGGTCAGGCAAATGCAAACACTACGTCACATGACCGTTCTCCCACAAGCTCAACAGAGGGCACTCTTGGAAGAACTGAGCAGCATTTTAAATTTCATCGGGGCAAAACTTGCTTGGCTAAAACTGCTAATGAAGGATAAACAGATTTATCTAACCTTACACACTTAGGCCAAGTAAAAAAAAAAGTTTCTCGTTCATTTTTTGAAAGGAGAAGACAGTAATTATAAATTTTTTTTCTCCATTTCAAGAAGTAAATATTTCCAAAGATGGAGATGGATTTCTAGACCCTTTTGCTGACACTTTTCTGTCATCTGTAAGGACCTTTCATCCCATCTAATAGGTTTTGAACTAGTGTTGTTCACACAAAGAAAAAGACACAATAAGCTGAAAGTAAGATATAAAAATACGAAGACATAGAACGGGAGGCAGGCAGTGAAAAAGGAAGTAGATGGGCCGAGACACTAATTGCTTTTTTACTTGGCCAGGCAGGAAATTATTTCAGCGTTAAAGAGAGAATTATTACTGCTGTTAGTGAAAAAGAGTTTTGAAAGATTCTAGAAAGCCCGCCACCATTGTCCAACCTGTGATATTGTGATGCTAGCATCCCCCTGGCCGGGTCTCTCGCTATCGATAAGGTCTTTCTGTGGTTGCCATGGGAACAAAAAGGACCGAAAAAATGAAATGATGGGACGATGTGAAATACATTTGCACTGGTATTAGACAGAATTCCAAGGAGGACCAAACATCTGCCGAGGCTGAAGCTGAAACGAAGCTGGGACTTTGAAAATTCTGAGGAGGGAAGCAAAGTTGGTAGGATGACAGTGAATGTTGGATGGACCGCCTGCATTTTCACGAAGGCGTTACTCTCAAATTTGAATCAAATGTGAACCGGCTTCCGCCTTTTCGATTTTTAGGGACACCGTTGCAGGCCGCCCAGAGATGTATCCGCCAAGCCCCACCCCTAGCCAATAACTGCCATAACTGTGCTACAGCAGCCAAATGACCAGCTCTTTGAAGAGCGGCAAAGTGCACTTGCAGGCAAAACACACACGCCTTTTGCATACTTGTATGGGTGGGTGTGGATCCTCGTAGTAAGGGTCTGTAACTCCTGATTATACATGTAGAATCAAGAGTTCAAATCCAGCCAATGGCGGCGGCATATTATGTCCTTGGGCAAGTCACTTTACCAACACTTGCCTCTCTCTCTCAGTCCACCTAGGGGTACAAATGGGTGCCTCTGCAGGCAGAGATGGCTATTTTAGTAAGCAGTCGTGTGTACCTGAAATGGCCGCACCAAGCTGTGTACTCCCCAAACAGATGAGCTGATTCTCAGGAATGTTTATGGGCCCAGCTAGCAGGGGTAATAATGATGTTAGCAGGCTGAGACTGAGCAATGTGCTTTTAATCACACCAGCCCATTATTGTAATGATGCAGCGTGGCACTCGAGAAGTACTAGTGTGGTAGTTGCCCACAGGGGGCAGGGCCTGATGGTTTGGCTTCTATACATGTATGTACAGAACAATTGGACATTGTAGGTGTGAGTGGACTCACCGCTTCTTCGGCCGTGTCGATGTCCTCTCCGGCCAGGATCCTGCTGATGGTCTCATTGCACGTCTGCTTCAAATACTGTAAACTGTTCAGCTGCTGCTTGGAATCCGACTCTGCATAAAAGACAGACACGTAACATGCCCGCGATGCATACAGAGTAACGACGGAAACATGCTTTTGTACGGGAAGTGGACGATAGATGGCACTGTGACAAAGGTTCACGGCAGCATCGTCAGGGTGGGACTCTCAATTTGTGAGCAGATGAGGGTCTGACGAGAACCGGTAAACCCAACGTTTTGGGCACCACATGCCATCTGTCCTCAGGAGACACAGGGGTAAAGTTTTACATGGCAATAGTGAGCGTGGGCCAGCCTCATCTACCTACGTGTACATGTACATGTAGCGTGAGCCTCCAATCAAAAGATGTACACACCATGAACCAACTTTTCCAGGACTAAAATATTACAATTTCTATTTACTTTTAATGCCATTTGGCAGGGAAAAGTTGTTTGGCGTTACGAACTGGAAGACTGCCACTATGACAACAGGATTCTAGGCCACCCTGTTTTCCTAATTTTCCGCACCCTTTCCATGATATTACAAGACCACTTTTTGTTTCCAGGCTTTTCCATGACTTTGGAAAACCTGAGATACCTGTAAGTCTCTATAACAAGTCTTTTCGAGGGACCACATACAAGTAACAAGGTAGACAGTGACAAAGCAACACCTTTGTAAAAATTCATTTGAATGGCGCTTGACTCGACTTGCGATGGATGGCTGGGGATGGACTAAGGAGAACTCGCATTAACCGGACCTGGCTAAAACATTGCCTAGGTAACGCTAGAGTTTGTTCCTAAACTTCTAAGCAATATTCCACATGGGCTAAGGTAACTTCAGATGCTGACTACAGTGACCTTCTTAGGCATCACACCAAAATACAGACATTTAGACACCAGGCCTATGGGGCATCCGGGATTCTCGCAAAATGACAGGTACTACGCTGGGGAAAACAGCGACCTTGGTGACGTACGCGCGCACCAGCCAGTCCGAGGATTGGGTTATACAATCTTTTTTTGATCTGTACGTACACGTGCGCTCGTTGCAGTTGTTTTCATCGGCGCGGTGTGGTTACTACCCATATTATTGTGAAACTTCCGGATGTCCGTGCTGCCCCATATCCAGCAAGAACTGAGACCGAGGGGTACCCTCCCTCCAACATGTCCAATTACTATACACACTCTAGACTATTGTTATCTAACACATCCCCCCTAGATGTCTGAAAACAATTCCTCAGATTCCAATCAAACAATGACTAACACAAAGCAGGGGGGTGTCTCCGTCTCATATCTCGCTTCATATGACCAGGCGAGGATGCTAATCCCTTCCGTCCCAAATGGTATGGCAGATGCAGCCTGGTTTACAGAAGCATGACACCCCAACTGGTTTGAACTTATGACTGAGGGTTTGAACAATCGGCAACACAGACCGAAAACTAGACTGGCCATTGTTGGAGGCCCAGTGGGCTCCATTAACTGTGGAGTAGAAAGAAGAAGCTTTTCATTGTGATCAACCAGAATGTGGTGACACAGAGCCCCAGTGGAGTTAATCCAGGCCTGTTTGGTTCAATCCAAAGTCCAAATCCGTTTCGAGATACCGGGTGGGCTCACCCAAGAGGGTCCAGGAAGGGATTCTCACTTGATGACACACCTTAACGGATTCTCACTTCGCACATCCATGCATGTTCAGTAACGTACCATCTTTGTATGACCGGTTTGCATCTCGCGATCGCTGTTTGTGAATCTCGTTTTCCAGGATGTCGACGACGGCGTCCAGCTCCTCGATGCTGCAGCACATCTTGATAACCGTCAGGAATGCTTCCGTTGTAACCGGAACGTCGGCACACTGGCAAAAGGCAGAAAAATAAGCCATTAGACGACTGCTTAACAAATTGTCGTTGCAAGTTGTTCGTGGCCAGTGAGAATCAATAAAGCATGCTTGCCTGTTTGTGACCCCCTATATGACATACTTGTAAGTTCTGCTCTTCCCAATTTCTCGTGAAATGTCAAGGCTTGCTTATTTGTCAAAAAGAGCATCTTTGATCCCTAAATTTTCAGGTTTCATGGAAAAATGTTCGAAGGAAACATGTGGGTGCTAGTCTTTCAAGAATCAGTCTGTATGGGTCTCGATCTGTTCAAAGCCTGTTTTCCCGAGTTGTGTTACCATAGCTACCATACGATGAACTCCATGGTAATGTGAAGAAACGTTCTCCATAACAGAATGGGCTACTGAGCTCTGCCATATACCAGTAGCAAATGAAAGATTACACCTACACCCAGAGCATTCCAGTCATGCATTTAACTCATTTATTTTTCAAATCTAACACGCCTTTCTGAAGTGAAGGTCGCATTTGACTGGTAACCATTTTTACTAAGCAGATATTCTGTGAGCTTAGCAAATCTGTGCGCTTCACTGCTCTGTGGTATTTTTCCGAAGTTTACCAATTTGCCAAAAAAACTGTTTACCAGTCACAATTTCACCCTATGCATATCCCTTGCGACTGGCTCAGCCCCAGAATTCCATTCAGCAAATCTTTTACTGTTCAGTGTCTGCCCTCCAGTCCCCCCCCACCAGGGTGTCAATTTTCCCCACCCCTCAGCAGACATTCTCACCAGCCACACGATGGTCTGGTTGATGTAGTCCGGGTCGGTCACCATGTCAATCAGCGGCCTGACGCCCTCACAGACGATGATCTCCCGCATCAGCAACCGAAAGGGCTTGCAGCGGAAATCGGTGTCAGGCACCAGCAGGAACAGCAGGATCTCGCCGACACTCTGGAGGTATTCTGAACAACAGACGACAAAAATAATAATAATTTATTCATTTATAAAGCGCAAATTTCAAATAGATATGTTCAAACGCGCTGTACAATGAAGACATTAAGCGTTGAACAATGAACACATTTAAACATGGTTGAGCCGATGGCATACAAGGGCACCTTGGGCAGCTGCCAAATGACCCACATTCACCAAGTTAACATCAGTAAAGGGGAGACAGTAAGAAGCAGTTACAGTTTTAGAGGTGGGAGGAAAACCCCAGAGGAATATTCTGGGTAAAACCCATGGAGTCAGGTAGGGACTGAAAACCCAATCCACATGTGGACTGGGCCGGGAATCGAACCCGGGACCACAGAGGTGGAAGGCGAGGAAAGAACTACCTTGCCAACCTGACTCCTCCGACAAGGAGGGACAATATGAGTAGAGGCAAATCTATGAAAGGTGAATGGACAATATTCAGCCATCTTGAATTGAAAGTGCGCTTAACTTTAACTTTTCATTTCTGAAACCTGAGAGTAAAAATAACAGCAATGATGTAGAAGTCTGTTACAAATCAATGCCAGCACACGTTTAGAATAATTTAAAATTTGTGATAAATTGTGTTCAAATGTTTAAAGCCAAATTTCAGTGAGACTTGGAACTCAAAATAGTCTGGCACCACTCCATTTAACACATTACAATGAATATGCCAGATTCAAGGAACACAATCAAAATGGCATCCAAATGAATAAGGTCTATCTGAAAGAATGTCACTTGTGAAACAAAAGCTTTTGGCTTCTTCCCTGTTTAAGCATTTCATCGAGGAATATTAACTGCTATGAATTTCTTCCTTTTTAATTAATCACAGACCCCTAAAACCAGAGGGTAAGGTTTATGATCGAAGCCTACCTTACAAACGTCGAAGAGCCGTCTTGCCCAAACTCTCTAGAAATACAAAGGTTTGGTGGTGGCTGTTTTTCAGGGTTTCTCAAAGTGTTTTGAACCCCAACCTTGTCAACAGGAACTATGAGTCATCACATCATGACTGATAAAGACACCATCCAGAGAGTGGGGAGGACAAAATCTATGGCTCTGACCAAACTACATGTACAAATGATTTTAGCAAACTTGGTGTAGGTGGAGTGCATTGCGAATCTCTCGATAATCCATCGAAAATACATTTTGTTGTTCATCATGAGAGGGCAACGACGTACAAGGAACAAATGTTAAGGTCACATCCAACATGTGGAATATTGGCTACAGCTCCGGCAGTTCACCACAGCACGCCAATGGACAAAAATAGCCCCACCGCACCCACAAGGCACTGGATTCCAACACCGCCTGACTGTTCATACCTAGTTCTTTATCCTCGTTCATGCTGATCAGTTCCCGGCATATGTCGTTCTCCATTTCCACCTCAAAGTCAAAGAAGATCGACTCCAGACTCGGAGGGGGCTCTGAGGAGTCTAAAAAACAGGGGAAAAATCCAGGTGTTTTTAAAATGGGCTTTTCATTTGACGCTACACTGACCGGTCAAAACAGTAAGGTGTCGTTGTTTATCGTGATTTAGAAGAGTGAATAATAATTACACAGACTGAGACTGAGACGAATGTTTGGATTTCCTACCTACCTTTAGGGAGTGACGATTTTTTAACTTTGTCTTGGGCCCGGCGAAACATTCGTACATGCGTCGCAAAGTCGTCGACCATTGTCCGCGTAAAAAAGTGAACCCAATCGACCTCTTTTGATCTGTGATGCAGAGGAAAAAGTCACACAAAACCACACTCTTAACGGGTCCCTGGCTCATTTGGCAATAAACGTTAATCACCCAACCTGAACATTCTTATTCTTGAAGGCAAAATATTTGATGAGCAAAGTTCGGTTACCGGCTAAAATGCCAAGTAACGGATACTCTTCAGAGCCGGTTTCTCTTAACAGACGAAATCAAGTACGCATACATGTATGTTTCCACAACTACGGGACAAGTACGCTAATGTGTGTGCACGAGTGAGTCCAGCAATAGGCTACGTGGTGTGGTTTTTTTTTGCTAGCGGCAATGCCTTACTTTGTGGCTAAGTTGATGATGCAACTCTGCGTGCACTGTCGGACTTCGTACAAGAACTGTCCCTCGTCACTGAGATGATGGTACCAGGGGTGGATGTAATCGCGGAAACCAAGGAGCAAAACCTGAGGCAACGAGGTAATGGCAAAAGTATGTCAAAATCACAATAAAGGGTAATACTTCATGTCACGTTGAGCATGATACCTGCTGACTGTTTAAAAAAAGGATTAGATGTAACTCTATCATATCTGAGCTCTCTTGTTCTCTCACCTCAGAATTCTTCACAAATTCTGGAACAACCTTTCTGAAAACAAAGCACAACTCTTTTTATCTTTTAATAAAAATTAAGAAAAAGAAACAGGCTCAGTGTCTGCATCCAAATAATGCAAGTAATCAAATTGTTATCTGATTATCATACTATAGTGGATTATTTGATTTCAAAGAGCATCCACTCAGGGACTGGGCACTTCTTGGGAGAATATTGAGCACTGACGCTGTGCTTTCAAGAGACACAGATGTCCAATCTGGATGTGACCTTAACAACGCCCTTGTGGTATGCGATCGCATCTGACCTCTTGCAACTGGCCGTCGATTATCTTGGCTCCCGTCAGTCTCTTATCGCTCTTGTAGGTGCGAGGGGTTTCCTGTAACCTCTCGACAAGCTTTAAAAGGAGAACCAAAGGCAAACCGGAGATAGTGTATCACTCAAAATTGAAAAATATTATTTCAACAGAACAAATAATCAAATCATGATACATGTACGTGTGTGAATAACAGTATCCAAAATGTCGAACTTGTAAAAGAACTGCACGAATGCATCAACGCACTTCACAAATACAAGTGTACCAGTACATATGTATCAATCAATACGGGTACATATGGTGCTTCATGTATAGCAGTATTACCCCCGTTTGTCAAGCCTATGAAATTCCTAGGACTCTCACTCTACTTCCCTTCTGTTGTTCGTGAGCTAACATCAATCTAACTTTAAATCGCAGCTCTGTTACCAGTAAGATGTCGCATGGAGACCGGCTAGTCAGAACCAGACTTTTTATGAGTAAAATGTTACCGGTGCACCACATTGTGTATTGTTGCCAGGGTTACCAGGGTTTCCAATATTCTACTTTGTCTGTGTCTCAGGCTTTGCCTGATTTACAACCCCTCAACTGTGACCCTGGCAGTTCAAAGATGTGCCAAAAACACATTGGTCTGCATGCAATTGATCTAACGACTGCAATATTTTCATTTTTTTGTGGGAGCATTATGGGCACACATTACGGTTTGGATGGCAGAGTCCATCAAAGCCCAAGTCTGAGCCAAATTCGAGTCATTTGAAAAGACTTCAAATTTGACTCACCTTGCCTAGGCCTATTGTCTCATTTTCCAGCTTGGAGTTGGGAGTGATTCTCTCCAAAGCAGCTTGGCTCTCTTTCTTTGAAAATACATTGTACAGAACAGTCACGCCCCTGCAATTATACATTAAAAAAGTGAAAAACTTCCCAATTCCTAGAACAACAACAACAACAGTTCATCACACAGAGTACATTAACTAAGCAAATTTGAAACAATTAAAACAATTTTGTCACACATCCGGTGAATTAACAATGTAATTATCACAAGGAAGCAATTAGTGCATACATGTATGTGCTGGTACATAAAAGGGAATTTTAAAAATTCTAAATTGTCTTTTTTTCATGCAGCTACTGCAGACTTCCTGCTGCAGCAGATGTGAACTTGTCAAGGAAATGAGCCTCACACATTGACACTAACTCCCCCTTGAGAAGCTTCTTGCTCCAATTGTGTCATTCGACAACCAGAATTGGAAGCCATTATTGCGGCAGCGCGACGCTCAGGGACTCGCCAAAGGCTTATTACCTCGTTGCAGCTTGATATCACTGACAAGTATGGTAGTGGCTACAGCAACTTCCCATAGAGTCTTGTGCAATTTTAAATTGCAGCAATGTACAGTATTTCGGATTGAAAAAAGGGGGGGCCGAGGGCTACTTTCTTAACACAAATAAAACTTTTGCAAAGTGGGAAACTGGAGGGTGGACGATTTATTAAGATTTGGGCATCCAGGGACTTGGCGCTAACACTGAAAAGAGGACTAAACGAAAATGGCCGGGCTCACCCTCCAAAGAAAGCCACAATGTAGAAGACTAGAAGAAATGGTGACAGGACACCAAACGTGGCTAGGAATAGGACTACAGCCAGACCGACCCATAACATGGTGCCGATCTCCCCCTGTGTTAAAAGAAAAAAGGAGAAACTAAATTGAAACACACAATAGATTCCTGTTAAGCTGCTCTTAGAGGGACTGAACTCACTTGAGCACTATAATCCATACAGCATTGTAACCATAGCAACACTCGCACCATTCAACTGTTAATCTCAAGTTTTCCAGCTTAAATACACATCAAGTCATTTATAGAATAACACCCACACATCTTCTCCCAACTCTGAATTTTTACCATAAATACCGGAATTTGTATGTAGACGTTCACAACACAGAAATGAAACCTTGATTTATTTTTCCTTCTGCAAGATTTGTGTTGAGCGCATACACAGTGTGTACAATGACCCACGTTATCATACCGTAGTTATCCCACTTGCATGCTAGTACAGCTAGAACTCTTTCGTTTTGCCTCTTCTTCTAACAGGAAAGTACATGGACACAGCTGGGGCCAATTTCGTAGAGCTGCTTAAGCACAGAATTTGCTTAAGCACAAAAAACCTTGCTTAATAAACAAAGGTTACCAGTTCTTACTCTATGTGATTGTCATGCCATCCAAAAGACAGGTAAACACCATTTCAAAACAATATACATGTACCTCACAAAAAGTTTTGTAACCTGATTAGTCAAGCAAGGTTTTTTCATGCTTGCGCAAATTTTTTGCTTAAGCACTAGCAGCGCTATGAAATTGGCCCTAGCTGTTGACAACTCTACAAACCAATTCCTAGGGCCCCAAAGCAATGGTACGAAAGATACCATACCCAGTAAGTACCATGCAGTACATGAAGTACATACATGTACATGTATGTAAATCCATGTACATGCACAGCAGACTGGAGGCACCGGTAAATTACATGTACATGTACATGTATACTTGTATATAAGTACATGGTAACACACACACATGTACAATCAATCAATCAATCTTATATGATCATATACAGAGCTACTGCAGGCGACCACACCAAGCTCTACTTGTACGCACCTCACTGCTGCAATGTATTTCTTATAATGCCTTTCCAGCTCCTTTTTTTTTTTTTTTGGCTCACAATGGCTAAGACCTCGGATTTAATCTCACACATGACCGCACCAACAGCAAATACCTCTAGATAAAATTAATTTCCCTCCAGCGTGTTGGGGCTGGCTACCGTACCCGGCGTTTCCTTATGACAGCATGTACCGGTAATGCAGGGCAATTGAATCAAACAGCGGTCTACATGTATACTGTGCATAAACATGCACGTGTACATAACATATACATGTCCATGTGCGTGTACAACAGAACGCAGCTCTGTGCTATGTACTGGCATATGTACCAGTACATGTACAGTGTATATAAACTTGCAACCTCAGTGATCATGCGTACATTTCTCTGCAATACACATGTATGTACATTTAGGTCTATAAGTACCCTGTACTTATGGGTACAGACCAGTTAATATTGTAAACTACCACAGACATCAGTGATAAATATCCCCACTTCAAAAAATTAGGAAAAATACCCACGAGTTTCTCAGCTGTTCAAGACACAGATCAAATCAAAGCTCACTTCCTCATCTTCTCCTTTCCATTTTCCGTGAATTAACCGATGACCTTTGAAGATACATGTATTTGTCTCCGACAGAGGAAAACCACCCCTCAAAACAGTCCTGAGTCCCGTTGCCGTTTTGAGAATTGATGCCTACACTCCATGGCAAAATAGAGCAATTTAGAGGGCCCCGTTTGGTCCGATACTTTCAGAAATACAAGCTGACAGTCCTGCCCCTGGATTTCATCCGCCTTTTTTACAAACCACCCGGTCCACGTGCCACAAAATGCTCTAACAGCAGAGAATTTGACAGCCTACAAATTGTGATTGGGCCCGCGTAGGCAATTTTGTACCTATTTAATGGCCTGCAACCTTATGTTCACCATTACATGTACCTACAGTTACAATTGTACAATAAACAACACATGAGAAATGTATTATACACGGACCATGGAAGAATCACAGTGTTTGCCTTCTAGCTATAAGATTTTAGTGCTGCCAGCAAATGCATAAACAGAGGTGTGTCGGTGCTGTGGAAATGATTTTAACTGCTGGAATCCACTTGCAAAGCTGAGCTGTCAGGATTGAGCTGCATGTACAGTGTACAGTAATGTGCATGCTTCAAATTTAAATCCCCTTGAGTCACTTTCGAGAGCAAAACAAAACGATGAGAAATTGACTCGTTAAGTGAACTGAGATTTCAAACTTGTCTTCAGAATAATCAGAATTGAGATTTAGGAAAAAGTAAATGTCGAGCCAAGTGTACCATCCTCAATTACTAGCGGCAGAACAGTAGCGCAAGTGTAGCTTCTATATACATGTACAGTACATGTACATGTATGCCGTGTACCGTACACAAGCAGTATTAAATAATGAAAACTGAACAGAGGTTTCACACTTGTTTTTTTAATCATTCAGAATGTTACTCATTAATTCACACGTACAGTGGACGAATACGGTCATTATTAATGTGTAGGTAGCATCCATAAATCATGTCCTTCCTTCTTGTATGTATACTGTACCACATGTACATTGAACAATACAATGTACATACCTGGCACGCATGCATTTACTGACTACACTTTGCATTCAGCAAGTAGGCTACGTACAGTGCATTAACTGCTCTTTTCACAACACAAGATTGGTTCTACTTGAACACGTACTGTTTGTAGTATACCTGTACTGTATTGGTACGTGTAGCTGTTTTGTCCTTTTTACAGACTTTGATTTCACGATGAAAGAAGTTTGGACAGAAGTTCACTGTTCCTTGCAGCCTATGCAAAATGCAGTGTACACACGTACATGTATATGGTATAAATAATGTACATGTACACCCATGTACAAATCACCAGTACATATGCATTTCAAAAAAAGGTACATGTACATGTACATGCATGTCTCCACTGCTCATTAACTGTCTGAGCGACAAGCGTGTATTGGTCTATGATGTCTGCCCGTAGAGTTGTGTCACACTTTGCCATGATTAACACTTGACCGCTCTTTTGCCAGGAACATAACGTTACAAATTGCTTCCAGATGATTTTCTGACAGACTGACAGGTATTTTGTTCAGATACAATGTCGTACGTGCCCTGTCACAAAACTGCCCAGGAGTAGGGGAAAAAATACTAAAGGGAATAAAAAAGATGAAAAAAAGTGTGCGTACATGTACATGATTACGCTGTGCAACAGATTGGTGCGATGTGCACACAATCATGACAATGTACATACACAGTCATGGCAACTGTAGGTGACGAATCAATGCAAGATGAAGTTACTCACTAACCTTTCTATCCACACTGTGTGCATGCGTGTACACAATGCACACAATGTTCCTTTTTACTTGTTCAAATGCAATGTGTTCACAGGGAATCTACATGTACCATATGGCTGCAAAAATCTGCATGCACGGTGTAGTGGAAAATTGGTCCTTTCACAGCTGCCTTGAGACTTAGCAACAAAGTGCTCAGAGCTTTCAATTTTGGGAGTTACCTGTAAATGTACTCAACATTGAGTTGGCAGAAAGTTGAGACTCAATCCGACTAACTCAACGTGGAATGGTTCAAGAACGAATGTAAAGTTTCACTGTGCAAATCACGACATTTCATTCTGTCAGACTTTGAAAAATGGAATAGCTGCCATCTGTTATCATGAAATTACTCTACAGGTATACTCTCATGTACGGCAGACGATGACCTGCTACAAATAACGCAAGAAAAAAAACACATTAACCCTACATGTATACTCGTACATTGTACACATGTACGTGTACACAATGACATGGAAATGTGTGCGTGCTTCGACACATGGGAAAGGAATCCTAGATTTTACAATGTACATGTACATGGATACATGTCTTGGTGTGAAACAGGTCCTTACATTTTACGTTCTCCTTCACTGAAAAATATTCAACGTACGTGTACATGTTGAAGTTACGAGGCAAATCTTACAAATATATGAAATCTGAAGTACATGCACATGTACTGCCCTTAAACATGTTTACCGACGCAACGACCATTAAATTTGGATGTTGTTTATTTTCATACGGACATGTATGTATATTGTACATGTATGTTGTAATTCCTTTGAACTTTGTCCACACTATCTTTTGCAGTTTACCAAAAAGTTGCATGTACGGTACACTGTACATACATGCACATGTACATAAAACATTGAAAATATCGAGGGAAGTCACAGTGTTACTTATGGACTCTGCACTTTTACCTTACCGGAGCAGGTACTGGGCTTGAACAGGCGAGGGCGCTCTGTTGCCTAGCAACAATAGCCCTCTGGACCAACACGGGGACATGTGTGTGTGGCTATCCGCATATTTTGTTTGCATGCCAACAGTGCAAACGAAACGTTGCTCTGACCTCTTTTTTGTCACATAAAAAACACGTACATGTACCGGTAAGCAAAGATGGCAGCCGTGCCTACAAGTCCATTGGGCAATTTGAAATTTGACGAGAAAAAGTTTTAAGCCACGTAACTTTAATTAAATCTTGACATCTTCCCGGAAGCAAACCCAGCATGACCACGATTAAAGACCACTCTACACATGCATGTTCATTGTACATCACGTATGACTCACCATCCTGACCATGTGCAACAATGGTGTATGCATGTACAATACCAGCGTACATGTACATGTCCAGGTACATTGTTTATACCGGTACGATTGTGACGATTAAATTTGCGCATTTCAAATCAAGCGACTCAATCAAGTGCCAAGTTGAGCCAACCATCACTGAAACCTCTCCAGCTCCATGGAGAAAAACAATACCTGGGACATTGCAAAACGTACAGTGTAGCGTGTCTTTAAATCAGCCTTCCTGCACAAAGGCAGTTCATTCAGCCATGCTCACCAACTCGAGCTCACAGTGTACCGGTAGGTCATTGCTGTGCCAACCAAGCTTGGTTGATTCTTGTTTCAGCATCATATCACTGTCCTGCATTTAATTTTCAAAAAGGCAAATGACACATT